TTTTTCTCCTCTCATTTTTAATCTCCAAATTAATTATCCGATCAGGATTAAGGATATCCCATTCTAAAGTTTTCAGCTCAGGACATTCGTTTAAGAAGGTTTAGCAATACAAAATAATTTGTCTTTACTATAAATTTCCAAATATCTATGTACTTTCATAAACGATTCACATTCACAGCTTTAAAGTAACGAGAAAGTTCCAGGCTTATTAGCAAATGTTAAATGATGAATATAACTTCAAACTAAAACTGTGGAGCTCATAGAAAATTTCCACATTGCTTAGATTTTCCCTTAACACGTTGAGAAACTATTGCTTATTGATATTAATATTTCTTCTTCGTTAGGACTTGTGAAATCCATTTTTTGTTTTCTTTTTCCATATTAATTAACGATTTGGTTTCAAGCAAATGTGCAACGTTATGTCGTGTTAGAAAGGTCCTAAAATGAATCCTGAAATCTATCATAGATCTTTAAATATTTTTTGGGTTCGTGTTAAAAATTCCTAAAAATGAATCCTTATCATAGATCTTTAAATATTGTTTTGGGTCAGGTCGGAAAACTGACTCTATGAGGTTCTCTAGTGAACATAGAGCAGCAATCATAACAGAAACTATGAAATTTAAAGCAGACTTCGGAGAAAGACAGAAGGTAAAGGAGTCCGGAATATTACGGTCTTTTTCAACATTTAATTTAAACAAAATTCTATAAATAATTTCATGAAAGCAGCGGCAAATATTTTGACTTTTCATTAAAAAAAAGTAAGTTTTTTTAAGTATTGAAATTTTAATTTAGCAATCTGAAGAAAAGAATTTTAAAATGTTTTAAGAAACAAAACCTTTCGTTGTATAAACTTATTCATTCAGCTATCTATCTAGCTATTTATCTATATATATATTATCTTTGTCACCAAGTTTATCAATGAAAATCTAAAGTTTCTTTGAACATCGGCATCGAGGAACAACGATTGCTTTATCTAATCCAATATGATGTGGGACACCCTGTATGTTTGATAGGAAGTGCTGATGGGGGCTATATGTGTTTATTTTTAGGCACACAAATTCAATGATTTAAAAAGCAAATGTTTAGGTTGCATCGTTTATGGTTATGAAGCACTCCTGGAAAGGAAAGTACAAGCGAATATTTTCTGTTGGATTGAGTGGGATAACAACACATAATCCAAGCAACATGGAGTCTACTAATACATGGTTATATCAGGTCAACCCTTCAACAAAATATCCTCCTTCCTTCTTATTAATTTTATTAATATTAAATTATCTTTATATATTTTAATGATACTTTTAAACGATCCTAGAAAATCATTTCATTAATTCTGTAGTTTAAAACAATAAAATATAATTGTGAGAATCATTTATTAATTTTAAGTTTAATATATTCTGGTAAATACTTGTTGTTTTTGCTTTCGCCCCAGTATATGTTGGCAAAGTACTCACATGTTTTTCAATTATAATTTTTAGGATCTGGGAAAATTCTAGCATCATATTACTACAAAGACATCGACAGCATTAGGGACTGACTAAATAAATCAATCAAATTATTTGATTCTAAATAACTGACGATGGTCAGCCCAGATCGAAATGTATTTCAATAAATGTTAAACAAACACTTACTTTATTTACTCTATGAGTTTTGGATCATAATCAACACCAAATTCAATAAAAAATTGCATAGATTTTATCATGTATTTAATTTTTGGTATTGATTGATTGATTGAAGTGAGGTGACCGACTACCCTGGCGGATTTGTCGTCGTCAAATCAGAGTTTGGTCGAATGCATCTTTTCGCGAGTGAGGCGAGAGATGAGATAATTAGAAAAATACAGGAAAATTTTCATTTTAAATATATTTTTTTATTCTGTAGCTTTTTTTAAGAGATTCTTTTTTAAATGATATTTTATTTGTAGAGTTGCATTTCCCTCATTTATCAATTGTCTAATAAAGAATGAGTGAGATATCTTTTTCTTTCATGTGATTCATCTGTTTCAAGTTTTAACCCTCATTTTCAATTTCTTTCTGAAGTATAATGAAATTGCGAACTATAGGAGGATGCTATTAATTTTACCGGACTTCAAGTTCGGAAAAAAGATCCCATAAAATTTGAAGGATTTGTCGACGGAAAATTTGGTCGATTTCAAGGAAAATAATTGAAATGTTATGATTTTTTTATTGTTTATGAAAACAGTTTAGCTTGCATACCTTTCTATTTTAATGTGCTAAACTAAAAAAAGTAAATTTGTTCCTAAGTATAATTCTTTGTCAGTTTAGGTTCCAAAGAACGTAAATTGATTAATATTTTTAAAATTTCAATTATTTACTTGTAGGAGATGAATATATAACTTCTATATCGGAGTTTACTGTACAAAAACTTTCACAAAGACGGGTCAGTATTTTATCTATCGTCCTTGGTCATAAAAGGAGTGAGTATTTTATCTATATCGTCCTTTGTTCAAAGACGTGTGAGTATTGATTTATATGTTCTTGGTTCAAAGACGAGCTAGTATTTGATCAGTAGTCCTTGATTTAAAGATGGGTGAGTATTTAACCTATCGTCCTCGGTTCAAAGATTTGAAACAACATAAACCTATGTACAGTGTACACTGCATAGGATAAACTGTGTACTTAACCTATGTGCTGTATAAACTACAATACCTAAGTCCAAGATTAACCATGTACTTCTGCACTTTATGACATTTGTATAGGATACACAATGTACTCCATGACCTTATTATTTTATTAACTTTATTTTCTTTATGTTCTATGTACAGGATGAACCTATTCGACGTATCCTGAGTCTAACTGAGAGCACTGTTGTTGAACGGGATCCAGCAACCTACAATGTGATAACTCTAAGGTCAGTTGAGGATAAATAACAAAGAAGACATAAAATGTAATTAGGATAGTTTATTGATTGATTGGTTCATGGGGTTAGGGTTTTTATTTATCGATGGATGGATTGATTGATTGTTTGATCAGGGATTTCTTGATTGACAGATTTAATTTAGACCGTTGTCAATGATAGCTGCGCTTGTCAGACAAAAAGAAAATCCGCAACTTCTCAGTATACAGTACATAGATGGGGAAAACAGGTTGGTGTAAATCTAGAAGTTGCTACTGTCTGGAGGATCCTTTTCAGAATCCATTTCTTTTTACGTTCTTTGTAATTTTCAAAACATATATGAAGAGGACAGATTGTTATACAGAGACTCAGTTTTTTTAACTGAGAAAACAGGTTGATTTAAGTTTTTATTCTTAAACATTTACATATGTATTCAGAGCTGAAAAGTTTAAAATGGTGGATATCGGGGTTAATGCTTAATCCACTCTTTTTCTTAATCTCGAGATTAAATATTGCTAGTTCTCCTCTCATTTTTAATCTCCAAATTAATTATCCGATCAGGATTAAGGATATCCCATTCTAAAGTTTTCAGCTCAGGACATTCGTTTAAGAAGGTTTAGCAATACAAAATAATTTGTACATTGAACAATGTACACTTTAAACAATTTATTATTCACAAGCTGAAATGCCCGGCGTTGCCCGTGGGGGAAAAAATTGAAGAAAAATTAGAATTTGTGAGTGTCCACAAAAAAAATCAGCCCATTCAGTCCAGCTGTTTGGCCGGCCAGAGGGAACATATTTTTAACAATTTATTAATTTTGAATTTTTAATCTTAAAACTTGGATACAGTTTATACAACAAATTCTGATTTGATTTTTCTTCTTAAGTCATCGTCTTTCTCCTTCCTTATTTCTTTTCCTTCTGTTGACTTTCCCTGATTCTGATAATGTTAAAAGAAAATTAAAATTTCTCGAAACCAGTATTTATTGGGACACTCTGCTCCATTGTATTAGTTTAAAATGGAGGTGAAATGGAGGGGGGCGGCGAACGTCTTCCCGCCCTTTTTCCCTATGATTTCTCCATTCGCCAACGGGAAAATTGATAATTAATGGTGTAGAGCTTATCATCAAAGTTCTTATCATTTGTCATGTTCAATTTTTTTTTTCGGTCTTGTTTGTAGGTTTTTTGAAATTATTTTGAGTTCCATGTCTAAATTCTGGTCTTAAAAATGTAGCTGACAACATTTATCCACTAAGAATTCAATTCCAAATGCTGTGTTTGTTTCAAAAATGGTGTAGGAGTTGGACATTTGGATAGGTCATGAAGGGAGGGTATCTAGGGACTCCCATAGCATAGAAAATCCTTACGTTGCTCCGATTTTATAGTGTTTCCCACTTCATGGAATTTAAGGTTTTTTCCCATTGGAGTTGCACCGCATTTACAAAATGGAGATGTGCTGGCTTTGTTGCTCCAGGATGTGGCATTTTCGACAGTAGTCCAGTCTTCATAGTCGACCGAGTATTGCAGCCAGTAGAGTAAAAAAAAAACGACATATTAGTGCATGGTTACCCACCTCTCAGGATTCTTCTTTTTAGGTTTCTATTTTTTTACTCTAATTTTTTTCTTTTAGAGTATATATCTGAATGTCTCGTTTTATTATATAGATTACAAAATGAATACAAGATAAACACAAATATCTAAATAAATTTTTAATTTTTAGATCATACTTATCAACGGACAGAGACAGTTTACTTGCTTCTCTTCTTGACGGAGCTAGAGCTGCCGGTAAATTTTTTATACAGTAATGAATTAACACTAATCTTATAAAAAAAAACTAGCTGGAGGGCCCTGCGTTGCCCGTGGAAATTTTTTTTTTTGAATTATTAAAAAAAAATTTGGAAACATATTAAATCGATTTTTAGTCTATGTCACCCCCAGGCTACCCATGAGTGTCCACAACAAATTTTAGCCCATTCGATCCAGCCATTTGGTCGGCCAGAGGGAACATATATAAGAATGTCTTGTTTATTATTAGATGACGTTTTTATGCTGAAGTTGATTTATCATAATTTAGTCGTCCTTTTATAGTTGACGGCAAATTGATTGATTCTATGACAAATTGATTCTTTGATAGATTGAAGGACTGATGGATTGATAGATTGATTGCTTTAATTAATTGATTGATTGATAGGGAACCCTGATGTGCACGTGCGCATGAGCTGGTATGAGCGCGGAAAGCGCCTTGGCCCCCTTGACCAGCCTATGGGAGAGGAGGTTGAATCCTTTAGTCTGAAATTCTTAACCTCGCAGCCAGTTGGCTGGGACTTTGCCCAGGCTGTTTCAAGGTAAACAAAAGATGGAACTTCGAGCTCTGGAATNTAGTAGGGTTGGGTAGTAGGGTAAACATTTTGGAAGTTAAGTATAAAGATTATTAACTAAAAGAACATTTTATGATAATATTTCTTTGTAGATTTAACGCCAACGTATCCTACAGTGGGCTCCTCCACGCTGTAACCCAGGAGCACCTTTTCGCGGAGAACAAGGAGAAGTTGATCAGCTCCGCAATAAGTAGTCTCATCTCCAAGGAGGGGGACCAGGACTCCATCAGCAGTCCGGAGCTTGAGCAGCAGTTCCACTGCTTAAGAAGGTTGGTAGCCAGCAAGGCAGGGTTTAGCTGCTTCACCTCCCTACCTGGGTTCAGGGAAAAGGTTGGGTGGAAGGTAGCGAAGGCCTTGAAGCGGGGAGATGATGGAATTAGCCACGCTGCTATTGATATGCTCTGTGCTCTTATGGAACCAATGCATCAGGAATGGAGAAGTGAAAATATTTGGTGTACATTTTATTTTCCTTTTTAAGTATTGAAACATATATCACAGAGAAAGTTAATAATATCTGAAAAGAAAAAAATAAACAAAAACTTGGTTTATTTCCAAGCAAAAAAGGATATCCTTTGAGTAACAAGCTTGGATCCCAGTTTAAACCTTGAACAATAATAGTTAAAGTCATATTTTCTAAACATCGCTTCATGTTTTCATTCCTCCATGTTTGTAGGATTACGACTTACGCCAAGAGCAGTTGAATAAATCCAGTTTATTGAGTTCGGAAAAATTCTTGGACGGACTCCTGGACATGTGGACCAACCTGGTGGTGAGGCAGCAGGGCGCCCTGGTGGTGGCTGGAATGCTGGACTTCCTAACCTTCTCCCTCTGCTCCCCCTACAGCGAGACTACCGACGGAAAGCAGTTTGATATGCTCCTGGAGAAAGTTTCAGAACGTGGCAGGTTAAAACTGATTTCGAAAAAAAATAACACGTTTTAAGTTTCCCTCACACAATGTCCTCTCATCTCTCAATTGACTTTTCTTTCAATTGTAATAAAAAAGAGAAACCAACGAATTTACTTAAATATTAAGTTTCAAAGGATGAAGAAATCCGTGAGTCTATTGTGAATGCAATAGAATATTTATATTTATTATACACACAAATTCTGATTTGATTTTTCTTCTTAAGTCATCGTCTTTATCCTTCCTTATTTCTTTTCCTTCTGTTGACTTTCCCTGATTCTGATAATGTTAAAAGAAAATTAAAATTTCTCGAAACCAGTATTTATTGGGACACTCTGCTCCATTGTATTAGTTTAAAATGGAGGTGAAATGGAGGGGGGCGGCGAACGTCTTCCCGCCCTTTTTCCTTAAAAAGAAAGATGTTTCAAAAGTTTTGATATTTTTAATTTCAGAACCTTGTTTCGATTGTTCCAGCATCCATCTTTAACAATAGTGAAGGGCGCAGGACTAATCATGAAAGCTTTAATAGAGGAAGGAGAACAGGAGATAGGGATTAAAATGCAGGGGCTAGCGTTGGCAGAAGGAAATTATATCATTCATTTAATTTTAAATATAAATACTTACTCGAATCCAATGTCAGGAAAATTTTATGATTTCAATCCTTATTCATTTAATTTTTAAGTTTTAACTGTGGCTGAAATATCTGAAATGCGTTAGTTACTTTCCTACTTTTTACAATCAAATTATAAACTTAGTAGTAAAAAAATGTTTCCATTTGAGTAGCGCTGAAATCAATTCTATTAGCTGTATTGAACAACTTTATAAGAACTATGTAAATGTTGTCTCGTTTTATTTGTTGTTCATTTAAAAAAAAAAATAATTCGCGGATTTATTATTTTTTTGTGGATTTAAAAAATTTTACAGTAGGGTAAATATTTTTTAATGCACTTTTGCAAAATTCTGAGCATCTTGGGGTCATGTGATTTGCCAAACAAATTTGGGCCCGATCGTCGTTTTGACGTTTATTGTATACAAACAGACAAGCTAAGCATATATTGCGATGTTATGATATATCTGGTTCAGGTGCTCTGCCACAGCACTTACTCTCAGCTCTTTACACAGAATCTGTTGATGGAAGGTATAAGCACAAGCAATCAATAAATCAAGAATTCAATCAATAAGTGTCAGACATACAAAATATATTTTATCATCCCCTGTAAAAACATACAAATCTATATTAATGAAAGGATCAAATGCACTTTTTTCAGCAGGGGTTTATACTTTATACTGTATATTTTCTTAAAAACATTTTCTCTCCTCCCCCTTATTTGAAAATATTTTTTTTTGTAATGTAGGTTTATCTTTTTAGGGCATCATTCGCTGCATTGGGGAAAAATTAATTTTCGGGTAGAAAGTGTCCAAAAAAATAAAAATTGTTTTTGACGTCAAATTTTCATGAAAAATATACACCCCTGCTATTTTTCCTATTAGGATTAATTCATCTTCTCATCTAGGTTTTTGACGAATCGTCAGCTATCCCGTCACCTGGTTGGGCTATGGACAACTGAGAGTGCTCCTACAATGGAACTACTCAAGAGAATTCTTCCTCCTGGTCTCCTGGTGTACCTAGAGAGTACAGACGAGGTAGTTAAATCCTGTCNGCTCAAAAAAAACCACCCAAAAAACCTACCTGTAAGTGGGCTTTTTTAGTTTTAATGTTTTTTTAATTTGTTTAATTATTGGCTTTGTTCACTCTGCAATAGATTTCTGATGATTTCTTGTTAGATTTGTTATGCCCTTACTTGATTACATATTCTAAAAATCATACTACAACATATGACAATTAACCTATGAAGGTTCCTAAAGACGACGTTGACCGGCTGAATGTTCGGGATAATCTCAAGCTGGCGATGGAAGCTAATCAGAAGGATAGCAACGCTTTACTCTTGGCAGCGGGCAAAGGAAAGATATGCAAATATAGATAAAAAATTTTATTTGTCTAAAAAATTTAGATGTCCTTTAAGGGTTAAACTAAGAAACGATGACAGATTTTATTCATATAATTTTCAGGCTCATTTAGATTTTTTTTTAATATAAATCAAATGAAAGATGGACCTTCCCTTATGATCTTTTTTTTTAATCGTTAATTACTGAATGAGTTTTGATTTTTTTTTTTTTAATTTCTTTTATAAATGTTTCTAATTTGCTTATTTAAAAAATTTTTTTAGTTTCACCCACACCTTGATTTAGCCAAACGATGTAAAAACTAATTCACAGATGTTGACATTGAATATTTATTTTTTTATTTTTACACGATTTTTGCAAATGTTTATAAATGAATTTTGTATCTGTGTAGGGTTAAAAACAGCCAAACAACAAACAATAAAAACTGCTGAGTTTGTTGCAGAAAAAACTTACATTTACACGGACCAGGTAGCCTAACATTTTCCATTTAGTTAACATCAACTCGTGTCTGTTACTCAATACTGAAAGATAATTCATTATGTTAACTCTTGTCTCCGGATATTTAAGATATGTTTTAAGATATGTTTTAAGATAAGCTTTATTATCAGTTATTGACAGAAAGTTTTAAGGACAGCCTTTGATTTTAAAGTTTCAATAGTTTTAGAGTGGAGCTTCGATATTCAATCTAAAGAACTAGAAATTCAGGGCGCTTCGCGCCCTTCTTTCTAGGCTTTTATGGCGCTTCGCGCCCATCTTCTATTTAAACTTTTAACTGTGGCTTTATCTGTGAGCATCTTCTCTTTGTACAGTATAATACAAAAACAAAAAAAGTTTGCGAATTTCATAATATTTTTTCGCGCATTTTCAAAATTTTACAAAAATAAAAAACTTTTAAACACAAATTTTTAAAATTTCAATCATTCATAAACCTTCCCTGGGGTTCCTAGATGTCCCACAAAAAATTTGAGCCCGATCGGTTCAGCCGTTTTGACGTTTATTGGATACAAACAGACAAGCCAAATTTATGTATAGATGATTGTTGGCCGCATTATTAATTTAGTCATTTTTTTTGAGCTTAATTAAATTAATTTCTGGTGAGTAAAAAAATGATACGGTTGTATACTGTATGTATTGTATGTAGTCTACATTTATGTAGTTAATGCCGTACTCTTAACAGTTCGTCTCCATATGTATCAGTCCGGGTACAATCCTTCCGCTATGAATATCAAACAGAATACAGTCCCGTGAACTATCAACGGCACTACCACTTGGCGCGATCTCGTTAGCTATCGGGGTCAATACGGACACTTGCAATCAATTGATCATTTCTCAAACAGGACACGATCCACACGGCTACAATCCCGTGACTTATTTACGCCACAACCTGAACGCGATCTCGTTAGCTATCAGTGTCAATACGCACAATAGCAATCAATTGATCAATGTTTCAAATAGGAAACGATCCACACGTCTACTATCCTGTGAACTATCAACGCCACTACCACTGGGCGCGATCTCGTTTGCTATGTCAACCGGACAAAAGTGATCTATTGATCAAAGCCAACACTCAAGGCACGATTTCAATTCATATGTTTCAACGAAACGAAAATTACATTTAGAATGTAATAAAGTCGCGTTTAATCGGGTTTATAAATGGTTGATTAAATAATTGAGTTTTTCTGGTATTTCTTTTCAAACTTCTCAGATTGTTCAAGTAAGGGTACATGTTGCTTCTTGCTTGGTCTAATGCTTAACTTTGGTACATTCGGCTCAACCGTTGTCAGGGGTGTATTTTTTGGGGTAAATTGTATGAAAAGGATGAAAACCCCAGTCTTTTTACGTGAAATGATTTATTTTTTATTGAATGGTTCATCAAGATTTAGCATAAAAAAGAGAAATAATTTGAAAAATTTTTTCTGTTAAAAAAGTCAGAAAATTTTAAAGAAATGTTCAGAACTTGGATCCATTTTTTCTGGTGCGGAGCCACGATACGGATCCGCATTAGAATTAAATAGATCCTAAGCACTGGTTTTTAGGCCAAAAAGATTGCTGAGAAGCACATGGAGCTTGCTCTCACTCACTGGAGGGAGAGAATGGGGAGTAACTGGCAACCTAGTATTGGCTGGGTCAGAGGTTCAGATCCTGCAACTCAAAGTAATTCAACTGGTTTGTGTCTTCAATGTTTTTATTTATTTAATTTATTTGATTTTTAGTTTGTAGACCTAGACAGTTAAATAGCTAGCTTTGTATACCGTAGCTTGCACAGAGGATGGTAAATGTATCCAGAGTTTTTTTCTCTCTGAAAACATGAAAAATTTAAATTCAAAATTTCCAATTATGTATTTATTTATGGCATCATTATGTAGTTGACGTACATTTCAAAAATGCATGTTCTAACAATTTTTTTCTAATTTTAGACTTTTTTTTGTGAATCATTCTCTTTTTATTATCATGGTAAAGTCCCTTTCCTGAACTGTACTAATGTTCGTTTTTCTATTATTGTTTTCGACAATCTGCATGTACTCCTTAATCTTACTGTACTATATATATATCCTGAACCTGCCCACACTATTGTACTCCTTCTTACTGTACTATATATATATCCTGAACCTGCCCACACTATTGTACTCCTTAATCTTACTGTACTATATATATATCCTGAACCTGCCCACACTATTGTACTCCTTGATCTTACTGTACTATATATATCCTGAACCTGCCCACACTATTGTACTCCTTAATCTTAATGTACATATAGATCCTAAACCTGCCCACACTATCGTACTCCTTGATCTTTGTTGTTTTCATGTACATTTGTATCTGTACTGAACAAATGTACACCTTGATATGTATTGCACTAATGTACACCTTGATCTGTACTGAACTAATGTACTTCTTTATCTGTACTGCACAAATGTACTCCTTACACAGTACTATCCTAATGTACTCCTTTATCTGAACTTAATTAATGTACTACTTGTACTTTAGTGTACATTTGTCTAGTTATAATATAATTTACTCCTTGACCTGTACTGTACTTTGGTCATGTCATAATATGATAATCTTATGAGGAAAAAATGTAATAATGGAAATTCTTAAACGAGATGAACTAATCTTGATTTATTCTTTAACGAAGGCCGCAGGCCTGAGTTAAAGAATGCATCAAGATTAGATCATCGAGTTTAAGAATTCCATTATTACATTTTTATCCTCATAAGATTATTACTATATCATATTTGTGAGGTTCCATGGGCACATACCCAAGAAATTATAGTAAAAGATATTTCTGGTGAAATCCGACTGTTTCAAATTTCATAAGTAAAAATTGGTTCTTAATTTGAAAGTAATGCATGTGGTGCGATTGTTTCCTTAGTTTAGTTTGTTTGTTTATTAATNACTGTACTTTGGTCATGTCATAATATAAATTACTCCTTGACCTGTACTGTACTTTGGTCATGTCATAATATAAATTACTCCTTGACCTGTACTGTACTTTGGTCATGTCATAATATAAATTACTCCTTGACCTGTACTGTACTTTGGTCATGTCATAATATAATTTACTCCTTGACCTGTACTGTACTTTGGTCATGTCATAATATAATTTACTCCTTGACCTGTACTGTACTTTGGTCATGTCATAATATAAATTACTCCTTGACCTGTACTGTACTTTGGTCATGTCATAATATAAATTACTCCTTGACCTGTACTGTACTTTGGTCATGTTATGATATAATGTACTCCTTGACCTATACTGTACTTAATGACTTGTTATAATATAACGTATTCCTTGATCTGAATTGTACTTCTTGACATGTTATTATACAATGTACTCCTTGACCTGTTCTGTACTCCTTGACCTGTTCTGTACTCTTTGACCTGTACTGAACGTTGGTCATGTTAAGATATAATTTACTACTTGACCTGTACTCTACATCTTGACTTGTTATAATGTAACGTACTCCTTGATCTGAATTGTACTTTTTGACATGTTATTATACGATGTACTCCTTGACTGTACTGTACGTAGGTCCTGCTTGGCTATCTAAGAACCAGGAACGTCCTATTGTCCTGAGAAAGAGGAGAGAACATGTGAAGAGTAGTTCTAACTGGTTACTCTTCTACTACATGTTTAACAAGGATCATGCCAAATCTAATCTCATCTGGAATTATAAGGTGCATTTATTATTCAAATTTTGAAATTGTTTGATCTATTTTTTTGGAAAAACTTACCAAATTCTCTGAAAAAAAACAGCTTTTGCCGTCATTTTTCTAAATTTTTACAATTACGAATTTTTTTTTGAATTCAGTGTCTCGAGACAAGTTTTTTGATATATTTTGAAAAAATTTTAGATTGGTCTTGTGAATTTATCTTAACAGAAACCTGATGCGCTGAATGAAACAAAAACAAACAATTTTTTAACTTTTATACAGAAAAACGCGTGCAGAAAAGATCGGAATATTTTTATAAAGAAAGTGCCAAATTTTTCCACCCTTAATTTGATTTGTTAAGACACGAGAGGAGCTAAGAGAAGGTCTGGAGTCAGAAATTGCTGCTTTTAAACAAGCAAGGGAGCTCTGTGGATCAGCTCTTATTTCCTGGAACCATAAAGAATTTAAGGAACAGTTTTTTTAAATCTCCCTTTAATCCCAATGTTAAAATAAAATTTGAGAGAAAACATTAAAATAATTAGTTAATATTAATCTTAATCACACGGCAATTTTTATTTTTCAGTTTCGTTTTTTTAAACTTGTCTTTTAGTTTGTGAGTTATAAAGATAAGCTATTTAAAAAATTTAACATTGAAATTGATTTATTAGAAAAGATTTGTTTTTAACCAGGTGGATTATGTAAGTTTACAGGAAGAGATCAAAATAGGACAATACTTTCTCAGGTTACAACAGTTTACAGGAAGAGATCAAAATAGGACAATACTTTCTCAGGTTACAACAGTTAAATTTACAGATGTTGGAAAATATGACAATACTTCCTCAGGTTACAACAGTTAAATTTACAGATGTTGGAAAATAGGACAATACTTCCTCAGGTTACAACAGTTAAATTTACGGATGTTGGAAAATAGTCTTCTAGTTAATTTTTTCTTCATATCGAATTGAAATCTGTGAAAACCATCAAAAATTAGTTATTTTCAACCATTTCAAAGAAGGTATATATTCTCTTGTGATATTAATTTCCCCACTGCACTGAACTGAATGTTTTTGAAAAATACGGGATTTTTAAAAATATAAACCTTGTCTAAAAAAAGTTAAAACCAATAAGACACAAATAATTTTCTAAATTCCTTTTTATTACTTACGTTAATATTAATATTAATGTGGGCCTAATCGGTCCAGCCGTTATGATGTTTATTTTATCAGAATAGACAATCCAAAACTAAAATTAATTTATGTTAAAGGGACTGTAAACGTTTTGTATTTTTAGATGTCCCAATATGCAAAGATGACTATGTCCGATTTACAACGGTATCCTTGAAACCTTTATCTGATCAATAGTGTAGAAAATAATGTCGTTTAAATCTATGTTTAATAATGCTTAATCTAATAATTCCTTAATCTTGTCCTGCAGTAGCATATGCGCAATTAATTTTTCTAGAGAAACCCCAATTAAAAATAATCGATTTCCAAAATCAGAAACAATGATATCTGATTCATACTTGCGAACAAATCTTTTAATGATACCGTTGTCGATCGGGCATTACCATCTTTGCATGAAGGGTCCCTCGAAATTACGCTAACAGTCCCTTGAATCAAGTTTATTAGATATTATTTTTTAAGTTTGACTGTATTGACTGTATTGTATTGTATTTATTCACCACCTTGCAATGGCAGCAATATTACCCAGGGATTCTAGTTATATTTATTTAGACTGCTGCTAGAAGAGGATACTATGGGTGGTGCAGACTCTATTATAACAAACCCATCAGTTTTCTTTAATGATCTTTATCATAGGTAATTATTTTTAATTTTTGATTTTTGGAAAAAGTAATTTTATACTTCCTCATTATTTTGGGAATCATTGTTAGGTAAGATTTATATTTTCTTGCTAAACCATAAGCAGCGGAAAAACTTGTTAAACTCTGAAAATTCACCTTTCTTCTTCTCGTTAACTTCATAAAACATACAAATTACAATTCATTTGCTAAAATAATAAAAATAAGAATTTGAGAGTTTATATTATTGTATAATTAAGGTTTCTGTTAACACCAAAGATAGACATGAAATGTTTATGCCTGCAAGCTATGGCTATTGTGTATGGTAGACATCATGAGGATATTGGACCCTTCAACGATACCAAATATATTCTTGCAATGTTAGACAGGTAGTTTTCATAGCCTAAACCTATTTCAAAAACTAATTTCTTGTCAAAAAAAATAATTATTTTCCGTCCCAATAGTTCAATTTTTTTCCAAACGTTTCATTTTCTAGCCCTAAGTTTAATTTGGTTCCAAATTTTCAATTTCCAATATTTTCATTCTGACATTTATTTGATATATTTAGAACAGTGGATAGGAATGAACGGGATAGATTAGTCTTCTTTCTCTCCAAGCTTATTCTCAACAGAGAGAATGTTGTCGATGTTCTGAGGTATATTTCAACTTCAGAATCTCAACAGTTTACTTTCTTTGCAGCCTTTAAACTGAGGTTTATTTGCTAGTCTTGAGTCTCAACCCTTACGTTTAATGTTAGACCCGATCTAGTTAGTTATGTAGAATTGTAGACTATATTTTAAGAACAATTAGTCCCAATATATTGTTATTATCTTTAAACCTGCAGTCAAAGTATCATGTCCTGCAGGCTATGTTACGTTAAGCTTCAGGGTAGAGCTCCTGGCCAGTGGCCACTTACCCTTGTCTGCTGGGGTATTCAACATGAAAACTGTCTTTAATATGTTGTTAATAGACTATTGATTTAACATCACACATAGTCACATTCACAGGTTTGATCTTACCTGTAATGATCGGACGCTGCCAGTCTAGATCCAATATAGACCAGGCCAAGTGGAGGAGCTGTTTCATTGTATTTCACCGTACAGTTGTTGTTCTTTGTCTATAGGTTGATTGTTAATAATAATAATAATAGTAGGCGGTCTGAGTTGCCCAAGCTGGGGCTTCCTTCAGATCTCTTCTTATTTAATCTTATTAGAGAGAAATAAAAAAAATTAACTAAGAGTATTGATGACAGAGAAATTACTAGATCCTATAGTTTCTATTATCCAAGGTTTACACCGCCAGGTTTCAAAGATAAAGGGACCAGAAAACTTGAGTTTCAGGCTTGGTTTGGGTTCTTTACACAAATTTATTCGAATATTCATTGATGTTAAAAGTGCTGATATTTCATATATATATATATATTTCTGTATTCTGTATTCTGTATTTTGTAATCTATTTTGGATATAATTTTTAATTTCTTTATTTCAGAACTAACGGATTGAAGATTTTAGTGGATCTAATTACCCTAGGAAAAGATCAATTAATTGGTTGATTGGTTGAATGATTAATTGGATTAGAGATTGGATGCTTTGTTAATTTATTAGAAGGATTGTTGTTTTGTAAGGAATAAAAATAATTATGCGATTTGATTGATTGATTCATTGATTGATTGATTTTATCAGCTCATCTGCACACCTCTCGAGCAGTTGCTCCGACACAAAGCCAAGCTATCGAGTCTGTGGGAATAGGGAGAACAGAATATACAATTCAAAATATTCCGTTTAGTTAAACATTATTTTACTTGTACCTGAAAAAGAAATACCTCAAGTAAAAAATTAAAAATTTGAAAAAAGTTAAAACTTAATACAAAGGTAATATATTTCCAATATTATTTACAAGCAGTGCTATGCAATCTGTAGGAGCTCTATATTTAGGAAAAATCATAATTAAAAACCCGGATGTATTTCCGTATTGAATCCTATTTCTCTACACGGATTCTGATCAGATAATTCAAGTCTAAATAAATATAAATGTTTTCTCTCATACAGAGAAGGGGATGGAAAAGGAATGGTACTACGGGAATGTAGACAAGGAGAGGAATGGGCCTGTTGGCTTTACAGAGATTAAAGATCTCTATAAGGTACATTAACCTAAGAGAAAAATTTATGGATATTTATTGTGTTTAAATGATGAAATGTGCACTATCTTATAGTAGTTTGCTAGTAAAAAAGTCAGCTTGTTTCAGTTTGTATTTTCTTGAGCACTTTCACTGTCTTTGTTATGTCTAGGAAGGAACTGTAACTGCCAAGACTAAAGTGTGGGCCCAGGGAATGGAAGGCTGGAAACTATTGCATCAAGTTCCACAGCTGAAATGGTCCCTAGTAGCTAAAGGAAACAAACATTCTTGTTCACAAGTTTCAGAAACCATTTCGTGTCTTGTCAAATGTTTTTGTTTTAAAGTCTTTTTCTATTAATAATTTTACGTGTTTTGCTCAGTCTTTTAGGAAGTTATTGAACATTGATGTTTTTATGATCATCCCATTTTTAAGAATTTACCTCATCAATTTATACAGTGTTACCCACAAAGGCTGAGACTCCAAGACGATTGTACTAGAATTACAGAATTCATACCGTCAGTTTCCTTTCATTTATGATTTGTTTCTTTTTTAGCTTAATCATTGTCTAAGCCATAAAAAGGTGAAATTTAAGGCAGAATACTTATTTTAACCTCGGAATTGACAAATTTAAAAAGTTTCAGGTCGTCTTTACAGTCTAAGTCTTTGTGGGTAACCCTGTAAGCTTGTTATATTTATTATTGGGCATATTGTTTTATTTATTAACGGGGCCGTCTTGTATAATGCTTCTTTGGTCGTCCTGTGATCTTAAATGTTTGAAGGAACCCCTGTGATGAATGAATCGGAGCTTGCAACTTTAATACTCAAGATCTTGATCCAGATGACTTATTTTTATCCTAGCAGGGACTCAGATGGTGCTATTATAAGACCTTTGCCGACTGTGAAAAGAGTTCTAAGGAATGATGCAACGATTTAGATGTTTTTTTTTATTTTTCCGTTGCAATTATTGCAGATTGTAAAAATTTACTTTATTCCGATTTAGTATATTCACATCGGTCTGGCAGGGTGGATATAGAATGCCCCATAAGTTTTATTTGATTTGGTTTGATTTAATTTGATTTACGTTGATAAGTTGATATAGATTTGGACTTGCATTCTGCATGTTCACATTAAGTGTTTTAGAAATTGTTGAATCTTAAAAGCTGAATATGTGCGCAAAGGTTAACAGTTAAAAAACTTCATAATATATATTTTCTATTTATCTATTTTTTATTTTAAGTTGGATAGAAAAACCTTATTCGCACGAAATGTGTATAGTGTATACTTTATGTTTTTTACCAATAAATCAGCAATGTACAATTAGTTGCTAAAATTGTGTGTTAATAAATAATACACTATTTAGCTCTAATAATGAATAGTTTGTTTTTCAACCATCTAGTTTTGTCTTGGTTTAAATCGTTGTTATGACCTAGTGAGCCAACAACCCTGCCCCACATTGTCCAGATACTTCTAACATTTGATCCTGTTCTCGTAGAACAAGTTTCTATTCTGCTCTTCAGGAAACATATTATTCATTCTTATTAAAGACATATTTCAAGTATTATATAAAAACTCATTCATTTCTAGATTTGTTTATAAATTAACTTATGTTTAATATTCCTAGATGGTGTTGCAATATTTTTTTTAACTGATATATGTAAGATGATCACTCTTTTCTCGTCCCTGCAGTTCATTTTAATTAATTTAATCAACTTATACTTTAGTATATAATAATTTTGATCGTATTAATAATTCTAATCTTGATTTTTGATTTTAATCTTCATCTTTGATTTCTATTTTACAATCAATTCCTTTAATGTCAGTTAATATTAATGTTTGATCTGAATCGTTTTCCTCAATCAAATTTTTATTTAATGTAAGGGTTTAGTTTCATTGAATTCTTATTTTTAAACTCTTATTTTCTATCAAAATATTTAAGTTCACTCTGCCTGTTTTAAAGCTTACTAAAACTCTTTATTACAACTTGATATTTCATCTTGTTGACAAATGAACACAATTATGAAATCCATTTTTATTTACTTTAGTAAATTAATGAATACAAATGGTGCTGTAACAGAATAATGGAAGATAATCCCAAGCTGTCCACACTGTACACCACGGGTATATTCTTCTTCATTCTCATGTACACCGGGTCTAACGTACTGCCTATTGGTCGGTTCCTGGGTATGACCCACGACAAGCAGGCCTTCAGAAGCGACAAGGAAGGGAGCAGCGACAGAATGACAAGGTTTGTATGTGGAGGAGGATGTATTCAAGGATTTCCTTTTTTGTCCGGATTCATTGGGTTCTAATAAAGCCTTTCAGAAACTTTTCTGAAGCTGGAAAGAATTATAATGATAAACCAATAAAAATTTACGGAAATTAAGGCCGGAACTTTTTTCCGAAATATAAATCAATCTACTTCCTAGATGCTACACAGAGCTAGGTGTGAGTTTCACATGCTGAAAAACGTGTATTTATCGATATTCTAAATTAATTTCACGCAAATTAATCGTCCGGTTAGCCTTTTTAGCATGGCACACATTCCTGTGTTGCATCTAGGGGTAGATTTATTTAAAAATCAGGCTCCGCCACTAATTTCTGAAAGTTTTAACATTCATCATTTTTAATAGTTTCAGGAAGCTTTACGGAAACAAATTGATCAAGTAAAAAAAAGAAACCCTAGATCTATGTATTGAAGGGGAATTAATGGGGTGCCCAATTATACTAAGTCGAAGTCAATACTTCATGGGGAATAATAAGTTGTAATATTCCCCTGACATTAGGGGTATACATTTTCTTAAAAATAAACCCCCACTCTGTGCCATGCAGGAAGCGCGCGGGGGGGGACGGTTGGTTGTAGATCTCTTCAGACTAATACTTCTATAAAGTAATTATTATTCACTTTCCACTAAACGCTACCACATCTTCGGTCAGTGCAGGGCATGTTATTGCAGTACACACCAAAAACTTAGTTGAGTGTGTATTGTTTCATGCTTTACAGGAATAATTTAATTTACACTTTAATTCTCCGAGATATATTAATAAGAAAAAAAAAAACATTTTACAAATCAAGTTTTTGGTCCCTGGGAATTAGCATGATTTGCAAAAATTTCACAAATTTGAGAAAAAAAAATACATTATTAGCGATCGAATTATGCTAAAAATTTACCCTGTCTCTGTGAATTATTCGTCAAATTTTTGTGCTTTTTTAAAACAAAAACTTTGGACATCAGACACCTTAGGTGCATTATTTTTTTTTTAATCAGAAATTGGAATTGTCTTAAATTTAGGGTTTCCAATCAGAATTCCGTTGTGCGGAATTGTGCACAATGATTGTTTCCGCTTGCGCCATTTCATTGAGTGGAATTGCTCTATAATTGCGAACAAGGAAGCATAAAAATACTCGAAGAATACTGCGCGGAATTGTTTCTTGTGGTTAAGCTACTAATTGGCACTATAATATGATACATTTTTCATTCTTTCACTTTGGGTTTACATTGTATAAACATTAAAATGGAAACTTTTTTGGTTAAAATTGTAAGGTTCGTTTAATCAAAATTAGATATTTTGCTACAGCGAGAACCAGAAAACTATGGTACAGAAAAACGACATTTCATGTGTAGTTGATGTCGTTACAAGCAACAAATTTTTATTGTAACTTATTAAATCACTTGTTCAGTTAAATGGTTATGCTTAAGTCTTCTTATGCCGCAGTTTTCTGGTTATCATGCCGCTTATGAATAAGATAAAGTTTAAATTCAATTTCCTTAAAATTTGAGACTGAAATGTTAGTGAAGTTCAGTTTAATGTATTCCACCACCAATGTTTAAGTTGAATTTTTTTCTTGTTTTACTGAATTGTGCAATAACTAATTGCAATTGCGTTCCATAAGGTTTAAATTGATTTTTTTCATGTTTTACTGAATTGCGCAATAACTAATTGCAATTGCGTTCCATAAGGTTTAAATTGAATATTATCAAAAATTGAAACACACACCCAAGAAAGTTGGACGGAAGTGCGCGCAAGTAAAATATTCTTGCCTTGCAAACCCTAATTAAATTTCAAAAGACTTGCATTTAAATTCTTGTTCAAATTATCCTCACATGATTTAACAGAGATAATAGTAAAATATTATCCCATTTATCGTCGGACTATTTTAAAATGTAATAATTTTAAAATTATTTTCAGAAGCGTTCTAGGACAACTACTCCCGGAGGCAATGGTTGCCTACCTAGACAACCACGGACCTGAGAAGTTTTCAACAATTTTTCTTGGAGAATATGACACGCCGGAGGCAATCTGGTGCGGTGAGATGCGATCTCTGATGATCCAGAAGATTGCCTACCATTTGGCGGATTTTACCCCTAGATTGCAGAGTAATAACAGGGCCATCTACCAGTACTGTCCTATACCTATCATCACATATCCAACACTTGAAGAAGATCTATTCTGTGATATCTACTATCTCAGGTATCTTATATCATTGTCAGAAATTGGTAACATTCATTTTACAGGTTTTAATGCTAAAATTTACTTTTTGGAAAGAAAAACTTCTTTATTTACTCTGTAACACTATTCTTATAGATAACCTAGTCATTCTTCACTGCACAGTCATAAACAGAAAGACCAGGAATTAATTGACAGTGAATCAGAATCAGATCAGATATAGATCTTTATAATTTTATAATGTATAAGTTTCTGTTTGTTTAATAAAGTATTTGAGAAAAAAAAAAGAAAAAAAGATATAGATCTCTGGTAATTTTAAACATACAATGAAGGCAGACCACATTTTGGAATTGGATGGATTAGGGCTATTTTGTTATTATCGTTATCATTAATCATATTCGTAAAATTAAATTTTAGAGTAGTCTGATGAATTATAGATTTATTCTGGGTTTTTCTGATTAGGTCTGTTTATAATTAAATTAATATTAATTATTTATCCATTTATTAAACTCTTTTATCTTGTCCAAATCTTTTTTTTTATTTACTTTATTTATATTTGTTTACTTTATTTGGATAAACTACAACCAGTTAATACTATTTTTTATAAAAACTAGATCTTAAATTTTTGGTTTTTCTTTTGAAAAAAGAAAATGTAATTATAATCTCTCAAGTAACCTTTAAACCTTAACTCAAGGATTGGTGATGGAGATATCCTCGTTTTTGTTTAACCTAGACATAAATATTCCGTAGTCACGTGATAAAGTGTCCAGGCGTGAAATAATGTCCGGGTACAGTGTTTAGGTCTTAAACATTAAATTTTTAGATGTTAAACGACTAATTTTACATAACTTTTGAATGAGAAAGGGATATAAGGGAACTTATAATGTTTTTAAATTCTTTGGAAGACTACAACATTCGAGACGAAATATGGTTTTTTACATTTTTTCTGGTATTGCTACATTTTAAAAACTAATTTAACTATACGTTTACGTTCAGCAGATGTTTTTAAATGAATAAATAATTTCATATTGTTGGGGAAAGTGTCAAAATCTTCAAGAAGTGCCCCTCTACCCAGGCATTATTTCATGCAAGGACAATTTTAACGCCTCTCTGGGAATAATCAGAAAGTTTCGATATTCAACTGAGATCGTAGAAAATCAATTTATTTCTAAACCTATGATCATCGTTTTTTTCCCGACGCATTCGTTTATAGTTCATACTTCATTATATGTTTTATTTGTTTTATATACAATGCTCTTGAAACGCCGATTAGTTGGCCGCCAGATGTCTGCTCTCGATGCTCTGAATGATTCCACGTGGCAGAGACACCTAGCGGAAAGAATGTATAAACAAATAAAAAATGTTATGAAGTATAAACTATATACGAATGGACTTCTGTTTTGATCGATGAACATTGTAAATTTCTCTTTTATTTGTTGTATGTTGATGTTCAAACCCACTCAGGAAGATTAGTTTGAGGACAGATGTTAATGTGTTCTAACTAAACAATGTTTGGACATGACAATGTTTCCAAAGTGTCCAAAGAAAACTACGTTTTTAACTACAATGCCAGATTCACAACGGTACCCTTAAAAGCTTTGCTTGATCAAGTTGAATTAGCCATCTATGTTTTTTATTTGGTAAATTGGTTATTTTCTATTGTGGGTTATCTACTTGTGCATTTCTACTTTAGGAAAACATATATAAATTATCAAAATGTTAAACACTTTTAACCTAGAAAAACGACTATATCTTCCACATTATTGATCAGAGAAAGGTTTCTAGGGTATCGTTGTAAATCCACCATTGCCAATTTTGCATCAAGGGTCGATTACAGTCCCTTGAAATAAGAATATTTTACTAGAATTGTAATATTTCAGGAACCTGTGCAACTCCACCAAGTTCCCCTCCTGGCCTATATCTGATCCTGTTAAGCTTTTAAAGGAATGCCAGCCATATTTATATATATTTATATAAAACCTTGAATAACCTCTCTCTATTCATAGAAAAGCATAAATGTCATTCTGTTATACCCCACCGTGGTACCATGGTTAAAATAATTCTGTTCTTTATTCGATTAAATACTACTGCTATGAATACGTTGCCGCTTAGGAAAACCTTTTTTGTAAAGTACCCGACATCTCCCCACCCCCTCTTCTAAGTACCTACTTCCCCCATATTTATAAACCCACCCTCTTCCTCAACTTCTCCCCTGCAATTCTATTGCTTTTTTCACTGTCCGCTTTCGCCCCTTATTTCCTATGAAACTTTTTTGGTTAAAATTGTAAGGTTCGTTTAATCAAAATTAGATATTTTGCTACAGTGAGAACCAGAAAACTATGGTACAGAAAAACGACATTTCATGTGTAGTTGATGTCGTTACAATAAATAACATAAGCCATAAATATTCTAACTTTCAGTTCGATAAATCCCCTTAACCCCATATTCTTATACAAACTTCAATATTTTTAAATACAGAATATTCAACACAAATATTACAACAATTGACAACAATGTTACAAATCAACCCCAAACATAAGTCTATGTTTTTTTAATTCTTATTTCCAAACTGGTCCCTGTCTTGATAATCAACATTTTCCTAGGGGAGGAAAGATTACATAAATTCATTAATTCACTTGAAAACTAATTATTCTTTAAAATATTTTTTGTGTAAAAACAATGTTAAATATGGCGGGTACAGGAGGTGCTGGGTGCCTGGAGGACTGAGGTGGATAAAAAACCAGCAACTATGTCAGTTGATGATGCTTATAAGGTAATTGATAACCCCCCCCAAAAAAAAAAAAAAATAAATAAAAAAAAATGTGAATTTTCATGTTGAATTTATATTAAATTCCTCCTGATAACGGTTATAGTTGGGAAACATTGTTAGATTTACCATTTTACAAATTGCAAAGAAAACAAATTCTCTGCTGAGTCATTCATTTTAACATTTGGTCAACCTTCAAAGTACAGGGTGTCCCAAAAAACATAATATTTGAGAGATGAAATAATGCAGTATGTATTTTACTCGCAAAATTCTGTCAAAAAATATTTCTAACCTTGAAGACTATCCTTATGTCGCTTCTCTAGTGTCTACTATCATTATTGTTTATTGAGATACCCTGAATAATTCAATTTAACGTTTATAATTTACATTAACTATTAGCAGTCAGATTTTGGATCTGTAATTATTTTCGTGGGTCCTAAATTCTAATTGTATTATTATTATTATTGATGTATTTATTTAGGAACTAGGACTCGTCCCCGGAACTCAGCATGATGATAGTATTGTCAGAAAAGCATATTTTAGGAAATTTTCATATAAAAAAATATCAAACAGCGCGAGCACAACAATTTATTATCAATTTTCGTTCTCTCTTTTTCCCCTTTTAAGTAGGCCGGTTTATCGGTATTTTAATTTTCTAAATTCTGTTTATTTTTGTTTCTGTTCGTTTTCCAAATCAGATTGCAAGATGGAAAATATTTTTGTTTTCTCCTTGATTATTTTTAATGAGTGACCGGAGAATGCAGTTTTTCTAGATGATGAAAGGAACCAACATTAATTAATGTCTGTTTTAAACATCAGAACTTTATACAGTTCCTAGCTTGGGAACCCAGCGTTGCACACAGGGTCAGAGTTAGTCCCGCCGATTACCCGCACTTTGACGATTTTTTTTGAGAAACTAAATGTTCGCTCTTAAATTCAACCACTCAACTCAAAACCAAGCTAAGAACATTCGTGTGGCTCTCTCGAATTCCCCAATTAAAATTGAGGCAAATCGGCGCAGTGGTTCCTGAGTTATGATCGGACAAAACAAAAATACTACAACCTTATATTTATAGACATAGATTATTTTGAATCAGTGGTGGTAATTAAGAACTATGTTTTAGAATGATTTTCATATTGTTGCCGCATTCAAAGATAACCTTTATTTCCTGTAAGCATTATAAAAAATTTAAGAAATATTAAATAAGAAGTCTAAATATGAAACAGACAGTATAAATTCCGTACAATCGGCTCTGAAGTCTCATCCTTTGTGTGTAACCCTGTACACTGTTCAGTTCATAAATTGTACACGGTACAATATTTGAGTCAATACTTCTCAAGATACATTAAATGGAAAGGTTTAATTTGGATTATTTTCTATGATATCTATATAATAATTCTTTTCCCTTGTATTTGTATATTTGTGTTTATATATGTATTATGTAAGCTATAGCTGACCAAACGACTGGGCAGAATGGGCTGACATTTTTTTTTTGAGGAAACCCTTGGGTATATAATAATGTATATCATATTATGAAAGATTCCTGTCAGGTTGGCCCAAAAATATCATCCTGATAAAAACCCGACTGGACGAGAGAGATTTGAATCCATTAATGCTGCGTATGAATACCTTTGCTCCAAGTAAGTAGATAATTTGTTTGTTAGATAATACCTCTATTTAGAAAGGTATGTACTAGTACACATTTTTTTAGCAGCAATACCGTTGGATCCGGATTCGGATATTCAAAAATATGCGGATCCACAGATCCGGGTCCAAGGACAAAATATCGACCAAAAACGACACAAAAATATTTTGCTCTCAAAACTCAAATCTGAAGTGTCGGAAAAAGAGATATTATCGAAAATGTCCCTTTTATTGAAATTTTCGTATAAAAATCAGTGAAAATTAATTTGAAAATTAGTCTTCTGTTAAAAAAAATCAGTGGATAAATCTTTAAAAATGTTCATGACCTAGATCCGGATCCACTTTTTTAATAAGTGCGGATTCAGGTCCGAGTAAACATTAAACATTCCCTTTGGTTTATTCTATATAGTGTGTTGTCATCTTGTTATCATTTAAGTTTGCATATTTCATTTCTTATTGTGAAAATCGAACAATCGAAACAAATTTTTTTTACAGAGACCCAATTTAATTAATTTGAGATGTCTCTGATATACCCACCGCCAGTTCAAATGCTGTGTCACCGATTCAAATCCACATGAATGTTTAACTTAGAATCATTAATTTACAATTTGAACCGGCTGTTGGTAGTTCAGCGGCTTCTCCCATTCATTAAATTTGGTCTCTGTAAAAAAAATCATTTAAATTTTGTGAATTCCTCAAACTACTTTCACCAAAATTATTAGCAGTTCTCAGTTCAAAATTATTCAGTACGGAGAAGCATTGATTAAAATTTGTCAAACCGCAAGATTTTCCTTTCAATTTTGTTTTATTTTGTGAAGGGTAAACTTGGTGTCAAACTTCTGAAACTTGGATGTAAAGTTCCAAATCCAAACTCCAGCATTCGATACTTAATAATTGCTTTGTTACGAATTTTGGAAATGCTGTGATTGAGTTATCACCTTATAAAGGGTTTGTTGTTCGTAAAATGAATTGACCCTTTAAATTAAAAGTGTCAATAATCTTTATAACATCAGGGTCCCTTTAACCTTTATTTAGAAATGGCGATTGTTAAACTAGTTGTTTTAATCTGGACGAGGGAAAGTTTAGTTTTCCGACAGTTTTCCTTCCTGTTTTTGAAACAGTAGTTTACGCACTAACAGAAAAATTATTCTCAGAATCTCAAAGTATTCTACCAGATTCAGTTTTTCAACTTCCATATTAGTTGCGATTTCCATTTTTACATGTCGCTGTCAATGGATTCCTAGACATCTGATTTTTTAAAGGAAACTTAAAAGTTTATAGAACCACTTATGTTTTCTTCATGGGGATTTGGGTCAACCTATTTGCCTGCACAATGTACATTGTACAATACAATGTTAATATTTATATCTGGTCCTAATTCAAGATTATATTTTCATGTTGTGCAATACAATGTTTATATTAATATCTGGTCCTAATTAAACATTATATTCAAGCATGTTGAGTGTGCAGTACAATGTTTATATTTATATCTGGTCCTAATTCGGCATTATATTTTCATGTTGAGTGTGCAGTACAATGTTTATATTAAGATCTGGTCCTAATTCTAACATTATATTCAAGCATGTTGAGTGTGCAGTACAATGTTTATATTTATATCTGGTCCTAATTCAACATTCTATTTTCATGTTGTACAATACAATCTGGTCCTAATTCTAACATTATATTCAAGCATGTTGAGTGTGCAGTACAATGTTTATGTTTAGATCTGGTCCTAATTCGGCATTATATTTTCATGTTGAGTGTACAATACAATGTTGATATTTATATCTGGTCCTAATTCAACATTATATTTTCATGTTGTGCAATACTATGTTTATATTTATATCTGGTCCTAATTCTAACGTTATATTCAAGCATGTTGAGCGTGCAGTACAATGTTAATATTTATATCTGGTCCTAATTCGACATTATATTTTCATGTTGAGTGTGCAGTACAATGTTTATATTTATATCTGGTCCTAATTCTAACATTATATTCAAGCATGTTGAGTGTGCAGTACAATGTTTATATTTATATCTGGTTCTAATTCTAACATTATATTTGCATGTTGAGTGTGCAGTACAATGTTTATATCTATATCTGGTTCTAATTCTAACATTATATTCAAGCATGTTGAGTGTGCAGTACAATGTTTATATTTATATCTGGTCCTAATTCTAACATTATATTTGCATGTTGAGTGTGCAGTACAATGTTTATGTTTAGATCTGGTCCTAATGCAACATTATATTTTTAATGTTGAGTGTGCAGTACAATGTTTTTGTTTAGATCTGCCCGCGTAGGGTCTGGACCTGACCCTAACAATATAGTTCTTATCCTGCGAACCCAATCCATCCTGTTTGACCGACACAGTCCTGAACTCCAGCCCTACAAGTATGCTGGTTATCCTATGCTCATTAAAACTATTAAGTTTGAGAGCGAGGATTCGGGATTATTTTCAAAGGTAATAAAAAATAATGATGAATTTATTGTAGAATATTTAAACGGCTTCCCCTGAAATAAGTGTAGAATATTTAAACTGCTCCCCCTGAAATAATTGATGGATATTTAAACTGCTCCTCCTGAAATAATTGAAGAATATTTAAACTGCTTTCCCTGAAATAAGCGTAGAATATTTAAACTGCTCCTCCTGAAATATTTGAAGAATATTTGAACTGCTCCTCCTGAAATATTTGAAGAATATTTGAACTGCTCCTCCTGAAATATTTGAAGAATATTTGAACTGCTCCTCCTGAAATAATTGAAGAATATTTGAACTGCTCCTCCTGAAATAATTGAAGAATATTTGAACTGCTCGCCCTAAAATAAGTGTAGAATATTTTAACTGCTCCACCTGAAAAAATTGTAAAATTTTAGACTGCTCCTCTGCTTGCTGCTGCTTCTGAGTGTGCATACCATACTGTTAGATGTTCCGCTCTTAATGCAGAAGAACTCAGGTAGAAACGATCAGATACAATTTATTGCTAACAATACATATAACAATTATAATTTTACAGGAAACAAATTTGCAATTATTTATTGTTTACATATATATGTATTTTGTACTATTCCAATAAGGTGGAGTGCAGTTTACATTGGTTTGGGTATTATCCCAACCTAATTAATAAAAAACAAACATTTACAGGATGTTGAATATCACAAGGATTCGAAAGTTTACAATAAGTTGAATATTACTTATAGTTTACCAAGGTGCCACATAAAAGCGTAAATTAATTTTCAGCTTTAAGTTTTGGACGTATAAGATTAAGCATGTACAAAAATCTGACTATTATTATATTAATTTTTTGCAAGAATAGCAAAAAAGTTTATTGCACTTTGTGATGTAGGAGTAAAATAACATTTCTGATGAACAGTTTTTGTAAATATGCCTACCGAAGCACTTATTTTTAAAGTAAGTGGCAAGTTATTCTCTATCTTAAGAAGTGCATACGACGGAAGATATTCTAATTAGCTCTAATTCAGAATGTCGATTTGAAAGTTGGGAGATAATTAAAAGAATAAGCCGTTTTTTAATCTTTTCTTGTTACAATACCTTTAACTTTATTCCTGCTGGGGGTCAATTTGACCAACCCCCCCCCCCCCCCCCCCCCCCCCTCCTGTAGTTTTTTACACATAACTCAATAAGTATTGGTCTGAGGCTGTTGAAATTTTCGGACCTTTCCCTGAAACAAACTAAATCTTTGTTTTGACCCACTTTCAGTTGTCAGATTTTGATAATTTTTAGCTTTTTGGAAAGTCTATGACAGAAGGCAACGCATTGCTTAAGTTTTGTAAAGAAATTTTTGCAAATTATTTGCATACAACCCTATAAAAGAAATTTGAAATTTTTTAGTTTTCCTTAATTACAGATTAGGTTGCATATGCGAAATGACATGATCAAGGGCTTTTCAAAATTGTATATTTCTTCTTTTTTTGCCTTTTGAACTTTTTTTTGCAAACATTTGTACTATACAATTGGATTTTGTAAAAAAATTCAAATTTTGCAAATTTGCAATGTTTTTTAGATTTCAGGGTAGCGCATAAGAGCATTCCAATGATGTATCATTTGTCATATTTCGACATCAAACATGGGATTTAGAGGGGGAGGGGTTAAAATTGACCCCCACCCCAGGGGGGGGGGTGGGCAGCGTATACTGGTTTTTAAGTACCCCAGCAGGGAAAGGGTTAATATTTTAAACTATCTAATGTACATGAATGTATATTGTAAAGTCTGAATATCAAAGGTCTACTATGTCAGGTTTCAAAATTATTGGAATTTGAAATTCTTGCCATTGTCCCTTGGCTGCCATATAAAAGAATGATAATAATTTGGAACACACAATTTTTAAAGGAAAGGGGAAAACAAATAAATTTTCTGTAAAAGCACTAAAAATGCTAAAAAAAACTTTCTTGTTAATAAGTAAACTTTCTCCTTTATTTTCAACCTTGTTCTATATCAGGAGAGAGCAGGGACTTGAAGCTTTGTACAATGCGTTTGAGAGATGTGTAGGAGTACTGTCTGCTAGTAGTCAGGTAGTACATGCTTCAAATATATAAGAAAAGAGTATATTTCGTCCTAAAAAATGCATTTTAAAAACCGTAGTTGTGTGGTGGTACTTATCAAAATGTTTCAATAGTAAAGTTAATGAATTTTTTAATTTATTGGTTTTATGGATTTTTCTATAGTATATGCGCACTGAGTCAGTGTGTAATAGCCAGTCATAGAATTGATCAGTTAATTTTGTAAAACACATGAGATTACATACTTTACCATAGGAGAGTGATGTGATTACATACTTTACCATAGGAGAGTGATGTAGCAGTGGATGTTTGTACTCATATCATCAGATGCTACTCAGTAGCAGCACAATTCCAGGTACACATAGAACAGCACAATTCCAGGTACACATAGAGCAGTAGAATTCCAGGTTCATATAGAGCAGCACAATTCCAGGTAAACATAGATCCGCACAATTCCAGGTACACATAGAGCAGTAGAATTCCAGGTACACATAGAGCAGTAGAATTCCAGGTACACATAGAGCAGTAGAATTATAGGTACACAAATAACAGTAGTCTTTCAGGTACACATAGCTAGAACAATAGAATTCTAGGTACACATAAAACAATAGAATTCCAGGTTCACATAGAACAGTAGAATTCAAGGTACACATAGAACAGTAGAAGTTTAGGTTAACATAGAACAGTAGAATTCCAGGTACACAAAGAACAGTAGAATTCCAGGTACACATAGAACAGTAGAATTCCAGGTACACATAGAACAGTAGAATTATAGGTACACATATAAGAGTAGAATTCCAGGTACACAAATAACAGTAGTATTCCAGGTACACATAGTTAGAACAGTAGAATTATAGGTACACATAAAACAATAGAATTCCACATAGAATACACATATAACAGTAGAATTCCAGGTACACATAGAGCGGTAGAATTCCAAGTACACAAAGAACAGTAGAATTCCAGGTACACAAAGAACAGTAGAATTCCAGGTACACAAAGAACAGTAGAATTCCAGGTTCACATAGAACAGTAGAATTCTAGCTACACATAGAACAGTAGAATTCTAGGTATTTTGGCTTTTCAATGCAATCCTTTCTACAATGTACATACGTACATCCATCAATGCATAAATCTAAACTTTTTCTTATTTCTTTTTTCCATCATCTCCTTAAATATTTATATCGCTTGCAAACTTTATCAGGATTAAAATTCATCAAAACTTTTAAACTCCCTCGCAGTCAACAAGTAGATAGATGGATAGATGGATAGATGGAAGGATGGATAAATGGATAGGTGGATAGGTGGATAGATGGATTGATGAATAGATGGATAGATGGATAGATGGATAGATGGATAGATGGATAGAAGGATAGATGATTAGGTGAATAGATGGAAGGATGGATAGATGGATAGATAAATAGATGCATAGACAGACAGGCAGATGATAGGTAAACAGACAGACAGACAGATGATAGGTAGAGACAGGCAGACAGACAGAAAGATTATAGGTAAACAAACAGACAGACAGACAAATGATAGGTAAACAGACAGACAGACAGACAGAAAGACAGACAGATGATAGGTAAACAGACAGACAGACAGATGATAGGTAAACCGACAGACAGATGAGAGGTAAATAGACAGACAGACAGAGGGACAGACAGATGATAGGTAGATAAATAGATAGATATATTTACTCAATGTCTCTATTATTACTAATCTAGGCATGTCGGGATCGTCTGATAGAAATGCCTGAGCTGGTGAAGAGTGTATGTCGTGTACTGTACTACCGTCAGCTAACCAGCCTGGGTATAGCTGGGGTAGAATGTATCTCTAGTTTATCTTGTGATGCAATTCTACAGATGCATCTGTTACAGGTAGCCAGCAGTATTAGGTCATCCGTATTCATCAATATTTTCTCAAACATGGTGTCCCAATAAACATGGGAATTCAGTGACGAATTCGATGTCGTCTTTGTTAAGAATTAGCAGTGTAATAACTGATTCCAAAGGACCATATTGTTATGTCTGCTAGAGCTTATTTTTTGAGAACGGTAAATGACTGTAAAGATGTGTCGTCTCTGCAAGAAGTACAGTCAAGACAGACAAGTTTACTCTGTTTGTATACTTTAATTTTCTTATGTGCACTATACAGTCAAAACAAAAACAAACAAATTGTAAAGATGGCAGACGAAAATCTTTCAGATTACAGCTGTCTCAGTAGGTATCACTATACTAAATCAAAGAAATATTTAAAAAGACAAAATAGAAATCGTCATTAAATTCCCATTTTTATTGGGACACCCTTAAAATGATGATCGATTTTTAGAATTGAACCCAACATTAGCTGTCAAGTACCTCTACTCAATAAAGTGTTTGTACTTTCAGAATCAGAATCTTAAATTGTACATATAGTTTACCATTCTCTTTGTTTGTTTTCAAAATGAGTTCTCGAAAGCAAACAAAACGTTAATTGTTGGATTTTTGATTTAATTATTATGATTTAAACAATTCTGGGGATCTTGCGATAACCATTTTGATTTATTAAAGGGGAGGGGGGGGGGGGGTTATCCGTTTGCATTTGTGAAATTTACAATTGGAACTTTTTTAAAACTCAGATTTCATTGCACGAAAATATTTTTTTATCTATTTTGTTATCCTAATTATTTCATATTCCGATAGAAGGATTTCAAACAAAAATGATATCTAGGCTGGGGCTCTGTGGCATCTTCTTCTAACACTATTTGACTACGATCATACTCTAGAGGAGGGAGGAGTAGAACAGGTAACACATCACCACAACCCCACCCTGCTCCTTCAAACAATATAATCTTATAATTCTGTTTTGAATGAGGTGGGTTTATAAATAAAAACTAGAACATCCGGATCCGAAATACGGACCTTAAAAAAGGGGCTTTTTTGATATTTCTTCATTGTTTTTCTGCAAAAATTTCTTTTATAGATCAGTTCAAGAAGTGTTCATGGTGCATTTACAAATTTTGTAAGATATAAGTAGATATTTGCAACAGAAAAATGTTATATGCTTGTTATTATATATTGTACATTTTTGGCTCGAATATAAGTCTGAAATGTTGTTTAAGGAGGAAGGGACAAACAAACAGGCGATAGCAAACAGGCTAGCAATACAGTCAATCAAAGCTCTGGCACGGCTAGGTGGATATCTTGCGGAACCAGATCTTACACCAGACAATCCTATAGTCAAGGTAACCAGACTCCACACCAGACAATCCTATAGTTAAGGTAACCAGATCCCACCAGACAAACCTATAATAAAGGTAACCACTAACCAGACACTATAGTCAAGGTAACCAGACTTCACACCAGACAATCCTATAGTCAAGGTAACCAGACACACCAGACAATCCTATAGTCAAGGTAACCAGATCCCACACAAGACAATCCTATAGTCAAGGTAACCAGATCCCACACAAGACAATCCTATAGTCAAGGTAACCAGACTTCACACCAGACAATCCTATAGTCAAGGTAACCAGACTCCACATCAAACAATCCATATATAGTCATGGTTACCAGATCCCACACCAGACAATCCTACAGTCAAAGTAACCAGATCCCACACCTGACACTTCTTTAATCAAGGTACATGGTATCAAAGATTGGGGGATTACTGGGGTTGAAGGGCAAATGATTAATTTCCTGAGTTGTAATCTTTTATTTTTGGAAAATTTATTTTTTCAATTTCAATTTATTATTCTCCATCCTATTCAAATAAACACAACGATTTCTTTTAATCCCATTTTGTCTGTGTTAACCTCAAACCTGGGATGATCATTTTAGTTACTTTTACCTGACAGTTCACATAATGGTTTTTTTGTGGGGGTTTTTCTTGCCTGGTTCCTTGGATCCGTAATTTACCAGATTCTTAATTCAATATAGAACTGGGATGTATATGTATTGCAGTAACCCGTCCACAGGCTGATGATAAAGGATTCTTCTATGGCCAGTTACGAAAGTAGAACCTAACCATTTAAAAAAATGAATTTAGTGGATTTAATGTTAAAATGTATCCCATTCCCCCTTCCTAATTAACATCTTGTTAATCATCACTATAAGATAATTTAAATAATGTTATTTGAACAAGTGCATGAGTTACGGTTGTTCATGAACTCCGGATTTTCAGGAAGGATTATCTGCAATGATGACTCCGTATCTGGCCAAACAACTTCACAAGAATATTCCTCATGAAACATTGAAGCTTCTCAACTCAAACTCAGAGAACCCGTATCTAGTCTGGAATAATGGAACAAGGTTGGCACATCTCTTTTTTTCATGATCCGGATCCATGAAAATTTTAAACTTTTAACTCCCTGGATCCGGATCCGCAAAAATATGCGGATTTGTATTTGTATCGAAGTGGCAAACAATCCACTAAAACCGTTTTATTCATGATTTGATAAATTATTCTATTCAGAAATTTGCGAACAATTATGATATTTGTTAACAGATACGAAAAATATTAGTAGAACTTATACAAGTTTAATGTTTGGGACCCGGATTCGATAGATTAGACGGATCCACATCAAACTGAACTAAGTAACTGCTTTATGATTTCGAGACTTATAAGAAAACAACTTTTCTTTGAAAAAGCAAAATGGTGTGTTAGAGCCAAAATACAAAGAGTCGAGTGATCTTAAATTTTTAATTCAACTATGTTTCACTTTATTTTCTCTTTGTTTACATGACTATATATTTCTCATCGTAATAACGGATTCCTAATTATTATCACTGATTTTTTAAATAATATTTTCAGACTAATAAAAACTTTGTTATGCCCAAGCTACGTTACTTCGTTTTCTAAGAGGAAATTTGACCCTTTTTTGAATTTATAAATCAGGAAACAGGCTCATTATTTTTCTAGATCTGAGTTGACCCAATTTCTGGAAGAGCAGCGGGACTCTGCCGTTCGCCGGGGCGAATCTGATCCCGCCTTCGGGGCGGAGTTTAAATATTCGGCGCATATTAATGAACTAGTGGTCGGTACAGTCTATCTCAGGAAAACAGTCAAACTAACCCTAAACAAATAAATAATTAAATTTACTCTATTTTAACATGATATTGGGGTTTACAAATATTGGCTGGGGTGGATGAGGATTTGTTGTATACCTGAACCAAAAGATTGATTTTTTTCACACGATAAATTCTAATAAAGCTTTTTCAAACAAGAGTTTACTGTTTAATTTAGAATCTACAATTTGAATCCAACCTTTTCTCTTGAAGATCCTAAATCCTTTACAGTCGATCTTCTCGAGTTCATCCGCGATAAAACCGAGGCCATGACGGTGCAATCCATATTCCCAACGGACGACACTAAGCACGGGCAGATGGCGTTGGAGTCGCTGGCCAACGTGATCAGGAATAACACCGGGGTTGAATTCCAGCTGATGGGACACTACAAGTCTCTCTTCCGTCTCCTGGACTCACCCTATCCAACGATTCAGGTAGTCATACATACATATTTATATATATCGGGGCGTCAATGAAATACAATTACAAGGGAGTCTCCAGTTGTCGAGTGGCAAATCCGATTCACATTATCCTCTGACTTTTTAATAAAAAAAAAATTAAAAATTGATTATTTGGAATTGTGGTTTTTCTAACAAATATTTATTTATGCTACCGAGACATTGAAAGAAATCTTTAAAATACAACACGTTTTAAAATTGAATAACGTCGATTACTTCCTTATTGTTACTTACCTTTTTCATGTTCCTCTTCTTCATAATTATCAAACAAAACTAATCTGCATAAAGTGAATTTGAGAGCCTTAGCTCAGACCTTAAAGAAAAGTTGTTAAAAAAAATTTATTTGTATAATTTGTATATGATTTGATTTGAGTAAAAGTTGTGATGATACAATCTTCTCTATTATTTTAATCATTGTGAAATTGTGCCACATATTTTGCGTTATTGCGAAAAATCATTATTTCGATATTTATTTCGGAATCTTTTATTCTAGGAAACTGCGCTGAGCGTGATAAGTTCTACAACGGGTAATGCTGAATGTGTGAGCGATATTGCCGCTGCGGGTTGCATCACCCGCCTCCTCATAGCACTTAAGAAGATGTCCCAGACAGCCAAGGCAGGAGGATAAACGATACAAAACTTTCCTTTTTATTGTTTACAATTTTTGAAAGGGACCTCATGTCTTTAACTTTTTGAGAATTTTACAAAGGAATTAAGTCATTGCAACAAACTCAAATTTTCGGATCCCTATATCTTTGCAACCTGATGGTGTAAATCTTTGATATTTCAAACTTAGACTATTTGATATACCAGAATTCATAGTATGAAATATCTAAGATCTACGACATTGAGTTGCAAAGACATAAGGATTAGAAAATCAGAGATTGTAACAAAAACTCAGTTCCATTTTGACATTATTGGTAGAGGAATAAAAAGCTTTAAATATTTGATTAATGAAGAAACATGTAAACAATCTAGTTAGTTCATCAACTAGAAATTATGATGTAAAAATTATTCTATAAATCATTGTTTCAAGCAATCGTATCTGCACCTCCTAATATTTTAAAATAAGATGTCCTTTTTGTGAAATTAACAAAGGTCTAGGTCGTCTCTTTATGTCTGATTTTGTATAAGAATATTCCTTGAACCTTGTGATCGTATATCTGTGTGAACTAGATCAACGTGTTGGAAACCCTCTACTCTCTGTTCAGCAACACCAAGCTGGTTAAGGAGGGTCAGGAGAAAGGGACTGTTCTCTATCTTCTGGACATATTCTGCAATAGTGAAATCCCCGGCATACGGTAATTAGGGAAGCTGATAAGTGTGCCATTTGCAAAATTTGTCAAAATGGCATTTTTAAGATCATATTTATTTATTTATTTATTCGTTGTTAAGCTTTTAAAATCTCCGCTCTGTACCTGGCTTGCATTGTGAAATATATATTTAAACTGTTGTTTAGTGAGAAGACAGCTGAGGTTCTGGCCAAGATGGTGATGGATAAACTAGTTGGACCTAAAGTTAGGATTTCAATAAATAAATTTCTTCCAACAATTTTTGTCGACGCCATGAAACAGAGTCCAGAGGTAAATTTTCCACTGTTTTAACGTAAATAGTGATCTTAATGTTTAAAAATGACCTCGAATTTGTACATTGTACATTTATTGTTTTCATTGACCTTGAATTTTTACAATTTACATTGACCATGAACTGATGATAAAAACCTTAAATTTATATAATTGCCTGGACTTTTAGAACTTGAAATAATGTCAATCCTTGCTCCATAGAGTTGAAAAACACAAAGGTCCAATGATTATGGCCGTAATCTATAACGTTATATCTATAATTGTTTATATATACCTTAGCATAGCCCTTGATTGTCCACCTAGATTGTGATTTCTTTAGTGACAAAATCTGGTATCTATGAGCGTATAATGAATGTAGGCCGATTTATCAATGTATTGTCCCCTTGACTGTATCTATGAGCGTAAACTAAATGTAACCTGATGTATTACCGTACTGTCACTGTGACTGTATCAATGAGCGTATATTGAATGTAGGCTGATCAATGTATTGTCCCCGTGACTGTGTCTTTGAGCGTATATTAAATGTAGGCTGCTGTATCAATGTATCCCCGTGACTGTATCTCTGAACGTATAATGAATGTATCTATGAGCGTGTAATGAATGTATCTTTGAGCACATAATGAATGTATCTATGAGCGTATAATGAATGTATCTAGGAACGTATAAAGAATGTATCTATGAGCGTATAATGAATGTATCTGTGAGCGTTTAATGAATATATCTATGAACGTATAATGACTGTATCTAGGAAAGTATAATGACTGTATCTATGTGCGGATAATGAATGTATCTATGAGCGTATAATGAATGTATCTGTGAGCGTTTAATGCATGTATCTATGAACGTATAATGAATGTATCTATGATGTATAATGAATGTATCTTTGAGCGTATAATAAATGTATCTTTGAGTGTATAATGAATGTATCTATGAGCGTATAATGAATGCATCTGTGAGCGTATAATAAATGTATCTATGAGCGTATAATGAATGTATCTTTGAGCGTATAATAAATGTATCTTTGAGTGTATAATGAATGTATCTATGAGCGTATAATGAATGTATCTATAAGCGTTTAATGAATGTATCTTTGAGTGTATAATGAATGTATCTTTGAGCGTATGATGAATGCATCTGTGAGCGTATAATGAATGTATCTATGAACGTATAATGAATGTATCTTTGAGCGTATAATAAATGTATCTTTGAGTGTATAATGAATGTATCTATGAGCGTATAATGAATCTATCTATTAGCGTATAATGAATGTATCATGAGCGTATAATAAATGTATCTATGAGGAATGTATCTGTAAGCGTATAATGAATGTATCTTTCAGTGTATAATGAATGTATCTATGACCGTTTAATGAATGTATCTTTGAGCGTTTAATGAATGTATCTATGAGCGTATAATGAATGTATCTATGAGCGTATAATTAATGTATCTATGAGCGTTTAATGAATGTAGGCTGCTGTATCGATGCTTGACTCTGAGCACGAGAACCCTGAATTAATCTGGAATGAAGCGACGAGGAATAAAGTTGCAAGATTTATACAAGAGGAGTGTGAGAAACTTTTCCAGGTTAGAACTGATTCCTTAATCCATTCTTACATTTATCCTTTCATTATCCCATCCTCCCATGTATTCTCTCTTTCTAACATCCTTGCATTATTTTTAAATCATTAATACACAATTTCGTTCATCCTTCGTCTTACCTTCGTTTATCCTACCTTATTGTATTGATTATTTTTCTTCACATGTTTTCATTATTAATGTTTAATTAGATTTATCTGTTCGTCAATCTCATAAATCTTAAATTTAAAAATGAAACTTTTCTATTTAATACTACTTGAACTGACTTACCACGTTCAAAGTTTAAATGTTCAAAAGTATCAAATACTTCTAAATTTTTATAGTTTTTTGCATTTGAATAAAACTCTTTTCACAACTTTTAGTCAATTAAGATTATAAATAAAGTTGTTATGTTTCTAATTATTTACCCATCATTTTAGAAGCAGACTGGTGACCCTGCTCTTGGTTGGAACCTCAGTGACGATTTCCAGTTGAACTTCGACGACGTGGCCGGTGAGGTCGTCGTTGCTGGGGTCTATCTCAGGATATTCGTTCAAAATCCAGGTAAATTATTTTTTGGTTTATCAGGTTCATGTGTACACCTGAGTTTGCGATTCATTGGTTCATTAATAAATAAATTGTCATTTAACCTAAAATTGTAATATTCCACATTTTGCCTGATTTATTAGTTTTATTTTAATTACTTTATGTAAGCATTTCCGGAAAAAAACGACACGAAATTTTTTTTTGAAAAGTAATAATTTGCTGATTTTATTAGAATTATTCAAATAACCAAACTTGGAAGCTCCATGTGTTCAATGTATCTAGGTTGGGTGTTGAGGAGGCCTAAACAGTTCCTTGAAGAACTCCTGGAACGATTGGTTAAACTGATGAACGGGGGGAACAATCAGGAAATGGAACTTGTCACTCAGGTAATCATCAATCTACAGTCTACAGTCTACACTCTACGCTCTACGCTCTATGCTCTATGTTTTTATTTAACAAAATATTGGATAATTCACAAAGAGAATTAAATTAACGTGTACATCCAATGAAAATAATCGCAAAAGCAAAACTTTGCTTGGTTTGTAGGTTATATAGCTTTAAGCGCATAGAGAAATATAATTAAAAAGCACATTTCAGCTTCTCTCATGGTCAGCTTTAATATTAGCACTTTTAAAACATTTGTAAATTAGTTTTTAAGTCATTTCAATCAGCATATCTTTATGGAATTTTGAATGAGAGGGCACAAAGATAAAATGATTTTTCCTACTTTTAGTCTGAAAAGGTCATAATTTTCACAATTCTGTAATTATTTTGTATAAAATATTAGAAACCCAGCAGGAGCATTTAATCAAAATATTTCAAAATCTGTTTATCATGTTTGTTATAAGATTAATTAATGTCTTGATTATAATAGTGTTTAATGTATTATCTTTATGTTAATGTCTAAGAATAGTTTCAAAAACTAGGCTCAAGAGGCCCTTTGAGATCCTTTTTAGTGACAAGTTCAGCGTTTATCTGTTGCTCTTCAATCTGTCATTTTTCGCTGTAAATCATATTTCGCGGAAGTGTGAAAATTACTAGATGTCGACTTGTTTTTTGTTTTGGGAGAAATTTGTTCATCTTTTACCATCCATAAACCTTTCCTAGGGTCATGAGAGTTTCCACACAATAGTTGTTCCTGATCTATTCAGCCTGTTTTTGACATCTATTGGACGTCTATATGATTATATAAATATTAGAATGATTCGGAGGCGAGAAGCGGCAAACGGGCATGTTGATTAAATTGTCCCTAAATAATGATATTATGATAATGACGGTAATTATTTAATGTCTTCGAAACTCGTAGTATTTTTATTAAAGTAAAAATTTTACTTTTTAGTCTTTAATTCTGCTGCTGGAAGCTCAGGCTGCTTTATGTGAGCAGCTTCCAGCTACAGGATATATCAACCGGCTGCTCTCTACGATGTCACAAAAGGGTGAAGCTGCTCAGAAACCCGGAATTCAATTTTTTCATCAGATTTCTAAGGTATGTTTAGTTTTTATGGTCAGGAGCTCCGGGATATTTAAAATTTTTGAATTTTTATATTTTTGAATTATGTCCAAATCTTCAGTGTTAATGGCGGAATTTTTGGATGCATTGTCTTAATCAAAGTTTCAAAATGTAAAATTCTTAGATGTCCGTTTTTATTAAACCAGATAATTTTACAAACATCGTGTGCATTTTTAGTTACTGAAGGTAAGTTAATCTTGAGAACTTAGGATTAAAAGTCGAACACAGGATTTATGAAAGTCTATCACAAGGTGCAAGGCCATATTTCATTTTTGATGTAGTAAGTTCAATTTGGGTTTGAGATGTGGATGGGAAGTAGGTTCCCTTTAATCTCTGACTTAATTTGACTTTTCAACGCTGGGTGTGATCGTACACAATTCTCTTCAGAAATACATATTTCAGTGTTCAATCTCTCTTCTGTATTGAATGTCTTTCTTCCATTTTTAACACCTTTGAATAAATAAAATAGAATTTAATTGTTATGTCGTACTTTTTTTAGAGAGAACCCCTAATTAGTCCACAATTTAAAAAATATAAGATGAACTTTCTATTAATAGTTATGATGTAAATTTTCTCTCTAGAAGTTTGGTTTGTGTTCATTTTTCCCTCTTAAATATGTTTTCTTGCCTAATATAATTGCTGAATATCTGAAAGGGAAACTAATTTAACTGGGAGTGATTTAAAACTTTTACACTTTTTTATTGTTTTTGTCTCCCAAACAATCATGGAACTGTCCACGGTTCTGGAACTGTCTGGACTAAAAACCAAGAAATTGTGTTCATCACTACGACGAAGTCTTGGAAATGAGAAAGTTGTTGAGTCTAACATTTTCAAGAAAATGGAATCTCTTCATGATGAGTTTGATAACTATGTTGATCTACGAACCTTAGGGATTCGCCAGATCGAGGCATATCGGCCACGCCCCTATTCTCCACACCTTTAAAACGTCCGGCTCTAACCTGGGAACTCATATATTTATCTCTAACAGATATAATATAGACTCACTTTCCTGCAACTCTCAGGTCTTTGACAGGTTGAAAATCTATCACAAACATACTTATTAGGTTTAAAATAAGAATGCCTACAATGGCTTAGAATATCAATAACATAATAAATGTAAATGAGACTTTAAGGATGTTTTCCTGGTGGTTCTAATGGCTATTTACTCAATAGTTGAGGTCTAATCTCATTGTATAATTGTTATCTGAAATGATACAGACCTTCAGATAAATACTAATCATATGACATTTCTCATGTAAATATAAAACACAAATATACAAATATAAAACACCAGGACAACATCTGGGTTGGCTGGATCTCTCTGTTGTCTCTGTCCCAGTCCTTAAAAATGACTTTCATAAGAAGAGCAATCTTAGCTCAACAAACTTTTATGAATCAAAAACAGAAGAGTTCATTTCTGGCAATGAAGTTGTAATTCGGGATATGGCATATGTTAAGAATACTTCAGAATTCATTAGATATATCATAGATGACAGAGATTTAGATATTCATGATGCTCTAGTAAGAATATCTCTTGATGCTGGTCAAAACTTCTTGAAAGTTATAGTTAATATTTTTGATCCAAACAGGAAGCATTCAACAAGTTCTGTTTATGATGATTCCGGAGTAAAAAGATGTTTTATTCTTGCTATCGTTGAAGATGTATCTGAGGACAATGGTAACCTGCAAAAAGTTCTTGATCCACTTAAGCTTGGAGAAGTAGACTATTCTCTTGCCTTTGATATGACGTGTGGGAACAGTGTCATGGGAATTTGTAGTCATGCTGGAAAACATGCTTGTCTCTACTGCGAGGGAGAATGCACTCTAGAATCTGGTAATTTAAGAACACTTGGATCACTGGATTTCTAGTACAATCAATATGCTTCTGATGGATGTCCAAAATCCAGGATGAAAGAATATAAAAACGTTATCAAGCCTAGACTTGTGTACCTTGATGATGATCCAGAACTGTACATAGAGCACATAATCCCTCCTCCAGAACTCCATATTCTCATGGGAGTTGTTGACAAATTAAGTGTACTTTTACTTACTTTATGGCCAGCATTTGAAAAATGGTTGAAATCCCACTATGTAATGATGCGAGGGTATCATGGAACAGGATTTGATGGTAACAATGCGAGCAAAATGCTCTCCTTGATTGAAACTCTGGCAAGAGATATTGTTGCAGATGGAAGACATGATTTAATACCTATTATAGATTGCTTCAGAAAATTTGCTTCAGTAAAACAAGATTGCTTTGGAGCTGAGTTAAGTGTAAATATATCAAGCACAATCCAGGAGTTCAAGGATTCATTTCAATATCTGCAGGTTTACATAAGAGACATGTTTAATGAAGAGTTGGTTACATCATGGAAAATACATGTGGCAGTATGCTACATAGTTCCATTTGTTCTTCACAACAAATCAAGTCTAGGAAATTATGCAGAACAATGTGTAGAAGCGATTCATCACAAATTTAAGAAAACCTGGTCTAATTATAAACGTTCAGTGGGTCATGATAGCTATGACAAAAATCTTAAATCTGCAGTTGTTCATTTTAACGTACTATGAATAGATAAATGTTTTTCTAGTAATATAGTTATTTATTTATACACTGTGTTAAAGAGGGAAAATTTTTAAATTAAAAAATTTCGGTATTTAGCACTTAGTTCAGATTTGTTCAATGATAAAAATGATTAATACTAACATGTAAGAGATGAATTATTGAAAAAAAATCGAAGTGGGGAGAAGTTCAACCTGGCGGTTAGTCTGGTCAACAGTGCCCTGTTTCTTGATATTTTGAGATCTCTTCCCTGTTTCTTGATATTTTAAGATCTCTTCCCTGTTTCTTAATATTTTGAGATCTCTTCCCTGTTTCTTGATATTTTTATTTCTCTTCCCTGTTTCTTGATATTTTGAGATCTCTTCCCTGTTTCTTGATATTTTGATATCCCTTCCCTGTTTCTTGATATTTTGAGATCTCTTCCCTGTTTCTTAATATTTTGAGATCTCTTCCCTGTTTCTTGATATTTTGAGATCTCTTCCCTGTTTCTTGATATTTTGATATCCCTTCCCTGTTTCTTGATATTTTGATATCTCTTCCCTGTTTTTGATATTTTGAGATCTCTTCCCTGTTTCTTGATATTTTGATATCCCTTCCCTGTTTCTTAATATTTTGAGATCTCTTCTCTGTTTCTTGATATTTTGAGATCTCTTCCCTGTTTTTTAATATTTTGAGATCTCTTCCCTGTTTCTTAATATTTTGAGATCTCTTCCCTTTATCTTGATATTTTGAGATCTCTTCCCTGTTTCTTAATATTTTGAGATATCTTCCCTGTTTCTTAATATTTTGATTTCTCTTCCCTGTTTCTTGATATTTTGAGATTGCTTCCCTGTTTCTTGATATTTTGAGATCTCTTCTCTGTTTCTTAATATTTTGATTTTTCTTCCCTGTTTCTTGATATTTTGAGATCTCTTCCCTGTTCCTTAATATTTTGATTTCTCTTCCCTGTTTCTGGATATTTTGATTTCTCTTTCCTGTTTTTTGATTTTTTATTTCTCTTCCCTGTTTCTTGATATTTTGATATCTCTTCCCTGTTTCTTGATATTTTGATATCTCTTTTATAATATTTGATAACCTGAACTGTTTAGTCGAGTGTATGTGTTGAGGGGATGGGTAACTGCGACTGTATTGCACCCCTACATCGAGCAATGAAACTTAGGAAGGATTTGTTAGTTGTCAGCTGTGAGATGTTTAACAGGTATATTTGACCGACAAGCTGGGATATTTTTGACAGGTTTATTTGACCGACAAGCTGAGAGATGTTAAAAGGTAAATTTGACCGACAAGCTATTATCAAGTATATTTTACGATGAGTGATGTTTATCAAGTATATTTGACTGACAAGTTTTATTTTCAACTTTTTCGCATAAAAAAAATATATGAATGATTATGTTTAAATAAAATAGTTTTAATCAAATCAATAAATTTTGTTTTTTACAAAACTTTCTTGTTATATTTTACACGTGAACATGTTCTAATCCCACAAAATTGTTATATTTTACACGTGAACATGTTCTAATCGCACAAAATTGTTATATTTTACACGTGAACATGTTCTAATCGCACAAAATTGTTATATTTTACACGTGAACATGCTCTAATCCCACAAAATTGTTATATTTTATACGTGAACATGTTCTAATCCCACAAAAATCCTTTCTATAGTCTTGCATAATTTATGCATTACAACCTGATTACTTTTTATAAGGAGGTTTATCCCTTTTGCGGTTCTTCTGTACTCGTCTTTCATTATACCTTTAATAATCTTTGTTTTGATTTCCATTAGAAATCAACCACTTGTTTTCAAAGTTAGTAGGCACCATCTCCGATTTTTTTCAAACTTAAATGTGAAACATTGCATAATCAGTAATTTTTAGACTCTGTTCACCTCCGTGTGCGGAGCACTGAGGTCATGAAGCTTTGACCTCTGCAAAGAGGTTGCTCTTTTCAAATTATCATAACTTCTTTTCTATTTAAGATATCGACCTAATTTTCATTAAATAGGTAATGAATAAGGCTTTATTTGTTTGTTCATAAAACAATCGATAAAATGAATTTTAGGGGTTGATATTTTCAAATAAAAACTTGTTTCTCAAAAAAGACATAGTATACTTCGATTTTTTAAAAATTCACACTAAACACTCTCTTATATGGTGAAAATACTGTAAAAATGTCATGCTTGAGAAATTATTGGTTTAGAAGTTATGCTCGGTTTTTTTGGTTAATTCGCCGCCGCCGAGCATAACTTTAAACCAATAATTTCTCAAGAATATTTGAGAAACAAGTTTTTAAAATTCATTTTATCTATTATTTTATGAACAAACAAATACAGCCTTACTCAATGTCTATTTAATGGCGTTAGATTTAGTCCGATATCTCACAGGGAGGTGAACAGAGTCTAAAAATTATTGATTATGCAATGTTTCACATAGGTCTTTAAATATTTGAAGTTTGAAAAAAATCGAAGATATTGCCTACTAGGGGGTGGCTGATTTCATATGGAAAGACCCTTTATATTTTATTATTAAATTGTTTCCAAAACTGCGCCTTTCGGTGAATAATCAAAATGATTCCACGGTTTTTCTTTCAATATTATAACAATAATTTTGATTATTACACTTTCTTCCTACGCATAATATATTATTACACAAAATGGGTGACAATAACAAGAAATATTCCGGATTTGGCTACGTAGTAACAGTCCCTAAGAGCAAAATTTATTTATTTATTTTTATAAATCTATTTTTAGAATATTTGGATTTAATCATGACAGTTTGGTTTCCCAGGCACTTAATTCAGGATTAGTTAAGGTAATTTTTTTGTCATTTATAATTCAATTCAATTCAAGGATCTGTATCACGTGACAATGATACTGCACTGCCATTGGCGGAAGTTCTGGTCACGTGATTAGTTAGTCACGTATCAATCATATCATCAATTTTATCTATGAAAAATGAAAAGTTATTAAATTCAAATAATAGAAGGAGCAAACTTAAGTTATTCAGGCTCCTCTTGTTTACTCTTATATGGCTTGATTAACTCCTAAACTGCTTAGGTTCAGGCTATGCCCCCTTTCATTTTTCCTTAACTTCTTCTTCAAACTTTTATTAACGAGAAAACTAAAATTACAGTAATATGAAAAAATGTTTAAAATGTACTTAAATATATTTGGAAATGCACGAACGTTAGAATTTATGTCTGAAATTGCTTATTGCAATTAACTCTCTATATAGAGATTTATGAGATCAAAAATAACAAAACAGCCTCGTTCGGACAAATATAAACTAAAAACTTTTTGATATATAGAGACTGTTGCAGTGGAAAAATGCTAAAAGTACAGTCAGAAGCACAAATATGTAGTGTTCTGGAACTATTATTGAATTTGACAGTAATCTTGGCAATTTAATTTTCTCATTGAATGAATATCGACCGATTAACTTGATACAAAACGGAACATAAAAGTTAGTGGGAAGTCTCAATTGAAGATTGGACAATGTATCGCAAGACTTATTGTCAGTGAGATTAGCTGGATACGAGTATATGTTGGGTATATAGTTACAGTGGATATAATTACAGTGGATATAGGCAGAGATTTAAAAGTGGATCTTTTATATAAAATCCTATTGGATACAAGATGTATTGAGACTTTTAAGACTTGTTTGACTATAGAAATTAACTCAAAGCATGTTGGAATGTAAAATTGGAATTATTGAATTAAAATATCAGTTTGGACAATAATTTACTTAATTTACAGTTTGAAATGACACCAATCTGTGACCTAGTTATCTAATGACTTGACGCCAAAATTTAAGAATTATTCACGACTTATCACCATGAGACTGCAGTGTATCCTGAGAAGTGAAAATTAAGTTTATAAAAATGGATATAACTGGAAATAGAGTTCCATTGGATATAGGCAAAAGTTGGATATGCAAATTTGATACAAAATCAACTTGGATGCCAGATATATCAACATTTTGATATTTTGAATTTAGACTTTTCCATTTTGAATTGTTAAGGGTGGAAGTATCAAGTTCTCAAGTTGTATTTTGGATTTGTAATTGAGAAAATTATTGGCCCTTAAGAACTGGGCAGGTGTTAGAAATGTTGAACCAAAAACTTGTCAACAAATGACTTAACGCCTTAATTGTACATTAATAGCAGACTCATTGCCCTGCAGCTCAGAGGATCCTGAGATTCACCGGATATAATAATTGGATATCATACCGATACTTAGATACTTATAAATGTCATGGAGTATATTAGGTTGGATTGGATTGCATTTGTGAAGTAGTATATTAGTCTGCAGGATCAGATCAAACTGTAGATTCAGGGAAAATCAGCAGCCAGTGCTTCATATCCTTGATCTTGTTTATCACTCAAAAGTATTCCACTACAGATTTTAAATTCTAAAAATTGTCAAAATGTGGTTACTTAGAATAAGTTCTTTAATAAGATATTTTCACCAGAAATGTATTGTTTGATAATTTACAGTGACTGGATTTTCTATTTTGAGCTGCCACATTTGTCATATTTTGAATTTTCAATTAGAATCTGTCACATCTGTCTTGGTTTGAAGGATTTTGTAAATTGAAAACAATCTTCAAACATATTCAGCTGAATCTTAAACTAAACTTCATTGGACTGCATTGGGTTTCACTGATATATAGACAGCTATGAAAGTTATTCATAGAATTTTTAGACAGGCTGAACTTTATTCGCACTGCAAGAACATTTGCTTTGGTTTTACCTCCCCAACTCACTTAATGCTTAATATACATTCTTAAACTGTAAAGTTCTTGTTTTAAACTTAAGTTTAAAAAGATTAATTAGCAAAATATTGCTTCTAAGAAACCAATCAGAGTGTCTATTGCAGAACTCGAACAGCAAATCAGGAGTTGAGAAATTTTGAAATTTTTGCGTGCAAAATATAATTGTTTAAGGATCTGCTGGATATTCTGCTAGATATGAATATAATATTATTGTTTAAGGATCTGCTGGGTATTCTGCTAGATATGAATATAATATTATTGTTTAAGGATCTGCTGGGTATTCTGCTGGATATGAATATAATATTATTGTTTAAGGATCTGCTGAGTATTCTACTAGATATGAATATAATATTATTGTTTAAGGATCTGCTGGGTATTCTGCTAGATATGAATATAATATTATTGTTTAAGGATCTGCTGGGTATTCTGCTAGATATGAATATAATATTATTGTTTAAGGATCTGCTGGGTATTCTGCTAGATATGAATATAATATTATTTTTTAAGGATCTTCTGGGTATTCTGAGTTCAAGACTAGACAATATACCTAATAAAGCTGCCTGTAAAGCTCAGGTAGGATTAAACTGCTACTAAGGTTCAGTCCTCTGTTAACAAATAAATAAAGCAATCAACCTTCAATAAAGATGACAAAGAAAATGAATTAACAGATTTTCTCTATATCTTATAATACACCTAGATTCAAATATGTTAAGATTATTTATGGTTTTTAATACTCTTTTTCTAAGTTGATTTCTTAATGCTCGATTATATAAGTATTGGTTGATTGATTTTGGTCTGAACTACTTACTGCTGGTTCAAATTTGAACCACTGATTTAAGTTTAAGATTTAGGAAGGATGTGAATTAATGATTCAAATTTGAACTGGCGGTAGGTAGTTCAAATTCAGTCCCTGGTTTGATAGATTGATTTTTTGCATAGGTTGTCAACGCATTAAAATCTCTGCAGCGAAGTTTAGTTTATGGAGATGAGGTCTCAAAACTTCTTAATTCTACACAGGTTAGTAGAATCATATTTTACTGGTTTTCTTCTCCTTAGAAGACTAAAGTATTAGTACAGGGGTATATTTTTTCTTATAAAAATATATATCATCCCGCCCCTGCCCCTTCCCTTCTTGAAAATCATTTCTTTAACAGAATATTTGTGTTGCTTGCTCGGAGTGCAAATTATAAAGATATGGGTTTTATTTGCTGAATTGGGGGGAATAAATGAGATTTGAGGGGGGGGGAGTGAATTTTTATGCTAAAAAGCATCAAAAGAATGAAAAAATTGCATTTAATATTCTTCTTCTTTCTGTGGGGGGGGGGGGGGGGGGGTAATTCTGAAATATATACACTGCTGTAATAGTAATGTAAACTGGGATCCCAAGAATCATTTAAATATCTCCTTTATGTAATAATACAATTGTTTAACTTGAGCCAGTTCTGTGTTGGGTAGAAGTTATCTCTTCGCATGAAATAGAATCCTCACATTCTGGAAAGGTTCTATTTTATCCAGAAAGTGGTCTATTGTCAGCCATACAACCCAATTTAAAGCTAGTTTAAAGCTACAATTAATTTTCCTGACAAGGTTTAAAGAAGTAATTCAATGATAATTCTCCTTCTAGTTGAACACATTACACAGATTGCCAGAGTGCGCTCACTATTGTTATTATACAGCTGTTTGATGCCTTTTCTGTTATAATTCTTAGCATTTTTTAGTTGTCACAGAAAGTTCGATCCTGTTATCCTACTCTTGTATCTTTCATTTAATCATGTTATCCTTTCTCATGTATCTTTCATTTGTTCCTGTTATCCTACTCATGTTTCATTCATTTGATCCTGTTTTCCTACTCCTGTTTCTTTCATTCGTTCCTGTTATCCTACATATGTATCTTTCATTTGATCCTGTTATCCTACTTGTGTATCTTTCATTTGATCCTGATATCCTACTCATGTATCTTTCATTTGTTCATGTTATCCCACTCGTGTATCTTTCATTTTATCCTTTTATCCTACTCCTGTATCTCTTATTTGATCCTGCTATTCTACTCGTGTATTTTCTTTCATTTGATCCTGATATCCTACTCATGTATCTTTCATTTTATCCTGTCATCCTACTCATGTATCTTTCATTAGATCCTGTTATACTACTCATGATCTTTCATTTTTTCCTGTTATCCTACTCATGATCTTTCATTTTATACTGCTATTCTGCTTATGTGTCTTTCATTTTATCCTGTCATTCTGCTTATGTGTCTTTCATTAGATCCTGTTATCCTACTCATGATCTTTCATTTTATCCTGTTATCATACTCATGATCTTTCATTTTATCCTGTTATCCTGCTTATGTGTTTTTTATTTTATACTGTTATTCTGCTTATGTGTCTTTCATTTTATCCTGTTATACTACTCATGATCTTTCATTTTATCCTGTTATACTACTCAGATCTTTCATTTTATCCTGTTATACTACTCATGATCTTTCATTTTATCATGTTATCCTACTCGTGATCTTTCATTTTATCCTGTTATCCTACTCGTGATCTTTCATTTTACACTGTTATTCTGCTTATGTGTCTTTCATTTTATCCTGTCATTCTGCTTATGTGTCTTTCATTAGATCCTGTTATCCTACTCATGATCTTTCATTTCATCCTGTTATCACACTCATGATCTTTCATTTTATCCTGTTATCCTGCTTATGTGGCGTTCATTGTATCTTTCCATTAAAAAATACATAATTGTAGGAAGTGGTCATTATGAAAGGGGATGGTGGAGATGTCATGTTTGATTTGGGGGGGGGGGGGGGGGTCGGCTGCCTTCATCTTTGGTTGAAATCTTCCAATTTTTGGCTGCACGCCTAATTAGTGATCGAAATTCCTGAAATAAAATAAAATTGAATTTTAATGACCTCTAGTGACCTCCACAAATAGAAGATATTTCAACTATGGCTTTATGCATATCTCCACCATCTCCTTTTGTTTATTATAGACTCCCAATTTTATTGAATTACGGGGTTGTCTTTTAAACAATTCCTGAACCTTATTAACAACTTTTTCTCATGTAATCCTTTGATGAAAGCTAATGAGAATTTTATATAATCAATCTTTCCCTTCTTACAGATATCTTTATTAATTTAAATTATTTTTTCTATTGAAACAAAATATTTTAAAGATCAAATCAAATCATTTTCTTTATTTTAGAGACATTTTTTTTAATAGTATGATTCGAATGTCTGAACTAAATATTTAAGCAAACAAACATTCTGACTTCTGATTGGTACTGGTAGGACCAAATATTGTGACTTCTGATTGGTAATGGTAGGACCAAATATTGTGACTTCTGATTGGTAATGGTAGGACAAAATATTGTGACTTCTGATTGGTAATGGTAGGACCAAATAGAACTAACTGAACCCACAAGTCTACAGAAGATACGGATTAGATTAACAGCACGAAGGAAAACTAGGATGGTACCTATTTCTGGCCACACTAGAGTTGTGTCCCAATGAATTAGCACATAAATAATTGTAATTACGGTTATTTTTATGGAGGTTTAGTCCTGGTTTCTAAAGAATGATGATGGATTGCTTGTTTGTTTGTCTGTCCTTGATATTGTTTGTTACTCTTGTTTTTCTTCCTCCCTGAAGCTTATTAGAATTAATCAATCTCTTGTCATTCTTTTATCTGCAGCAGACCTATCGGAGGCGTTTTCAGGGGGGTTATGGGGCTCACCCCCCCCCCCATCAGTGAAATTTATGATTTCCAGTAAGTTTTTGGGTCCAACATGTGCTGAGCCCCCCGGTCCTGGAAAGAAATAAAATACCACCCTGGATAAATTCCTGAAAACGCCCCAGGAACCCCTGATTGGTAGGGTCATGCAAACATAATAATTTGCTATTTCAAATCTGTTTTCTTAAAACACTTTTTTAAATTTATTTTGCTGAATCAAGAAATCAGCCAATATTATAATGAAAATAGTTACTGTTGTAATGTTGTAGATTACTCAGTGGAGGGCAGAAAGATTTTCCAGCCTCGAGACTAGGGTTTCCTGATTTTTGTTCAATCTCTTACGCGAAATTTTCGTTCACCTTTGGTGAAAATTCCGGTTGACATTTGGTTAAAATTTCGAACTTTCGTTAAACATAATATTTTTGTTTGCAAATATTTTCATTTTCGTTGAAACTCTTACTATTTAAAAGGACTGTTCAGGAAAAATAAAAGGGGTATAGATTAAAACCGAAGCATTTTAGGAGTTGATCGAGACCTATCCAAGCTCCTCTGGGTTACCGTAGTTTTCAGATTGGTTGCATATTTGCTGAATATGATCAGTTTAAAACTTAGATTCTTATACCAAATCTGATAAATGTAAGTTTTGTTATAACTTTGACACTGTTTTATTTCAATCTCTCGGGACAGGAACATCAGATAGAACTCTTGAATGTCTCAATCAACTCCTAAGGTGCTTAGGTTTCAACCCATCTCGTTTTTCACTTTTCCTTAACAGTCCTTAAAAGCGAGAAAAGTTTAAAAATATTTTCTTGTAAGAATTGTTCGATGGAAATCAAATTAAGAACAAATGCTTGGATGGTTTACCTACTTGTTGCTGAATAATAAAAATGAAATTTGATTATGAAACTGCTTAGAAGAATATTTAAATTAATCATGATACTCAGTCATCTTTAAATCGAAATGTTCAGTTATTAATCGGTATTCGTTGCACAGTATTCGTCTGTTTTTTATGTTTAAAAAGAGACATTCAATCAGTCGTAAACGTGCTATGAATTAAAAACAGAATCTGTAAAGAAGATGTTAAAATACTTGTGACCCCAGAACTGAAGTATAGTAGAAACTGTAAACATGGTATGAGTTAAAAACAGAATCTGTAAAGAAGGTGTTAAAATACTTGTGACCCCAGAACTGAAGTATAGTAGAAACTGTAAACATGGTATGAGTTAAAAACAGATTCTGTAAAGAAGGTGTTAAAATACTTATGACCCCAGAACTGAAGTATTGTAGAAACTGTAAACATGGTATGAGTTTAAAACAGAATCTGTAAAGAAGGTGTTAAAATACTTGTGACCGCAGAACTGAAGTATTGTAGAAACTGTAAACTAAAAGATATATAAAGTGGTTTAAGTATATACTTCTACTGCATTGAATGGACAAAAGGAAAGAGAAGATAAAACTAAATTACTATTTTATCCCAGTTTCTAAAGCACAATTCACATCTAAAGAAGATTAATGAAATTTAGCAAAGCAAGAAACTTTCTTTCATTGGGACTAGGTTTTAATTCTAGTATTTTTCTTGCACCTGTTCAGTGTGGTGGAAATTTAATCTTTCAAAAGTTCACAATTTATATTCTCCCACCACCCTCTCTCCTTCTTTCAAACATCACCGCTTTGTTTTTAATATTACAGGGGCATGTCTGATTCACATTGCTGAACCTTTATCTGATAATTAATGTGCAAGATATATTTGTTTGTGTAGTTTGAAAGGTGTTAAATTCGATCAATATTGTCAATTCTGTTAGCTCTTGATCTTTTTCTCATTGCTGTCCAATCCTTAATAAACTCTTCTCTTGTTCTTCTTATTATATTTTCAGTATTGTAGAGTGTAGAGTTTATCAATCTTCTTTGTAATTATATTTCAATCAAGATTTTGTAAGATCTAGGGGGTGGTAAAGCTGTTATTTGTATTTATGACTGGTTTTTCTTTACATTCTTTCACTTTCATAGTATTTCGACTTTCGAGGTGGAGTTATTTTACAGTTGTTATTTCATAATTTAAAACATTACTCTGAACTGTTTTTCTTTCTGTGCATTTATATTATTTTTAATTCTGAGTTGTTCAAGTCTTACCTTGTAGTCCTTCATTTCTTCTGCTAATTGCAATACTTTCTAAATAATAATAAATGTTATGGTTCAATATGTACTATGGAATACTCATGATGATGTAAACATCGAAATAAATTTCTTTATTTGAAGTTTTGCATTCTACAGATAGAGAGCACTTGTAATCAATTCTGATTTTATGAATCATTTTATCCTGCAGACATTAAAAATTTTCAAAATCATCAAACTAATGATTAATTGTCTAGGTTTGGTCCCAGTACGAGGCCCAGAAGCATGATCTGTTCATCGAGGATCGGCCGACGATGGCAATATCCTCCCAGCCGGCCACCGCCGGATATCTCACCATGGCGCGGCATGCTATGCCCAGCGTGCCGCCTCCAATTGAAAATGATGACTCAGACAGGTTTGTTAGTTTTATCTTACTATTTGGGATTTACTGTACTGTAATCAATTAAGAATTTCAGGAACGTCCTATTTCTTAACTTCCAAGTTCAATCTCTAAATCGCTTGTAATGAGTGAGCTGTTTTTAACGGCAATTAAAAGATTCTCATTACTATGGAGAACTGATTTTTAGCACAGTTGCTTTTACTGTATAGTAATGTTTCAGGGTTCACAGCCCTGCTGGTTTTCTACAGGGTGTCCCACATCATATTGGACCGTCTTAAAGCTTTAAAATGCGATTTCCGGGACTAATCAGAACATCTAAAATGAAATGAAATGAAAAATGAATCATTAAAAAAACTTGAATTTTGCAAAATATAAAAATTTGCATGCAGAAAATACTAGGTTTTTTGAGTACTATATGAGTAATTTGGCGTTATAAGCTTTGAGATAATGTTTTATAACATGGGACGCTTTGTATGTTATATGTAATATATATCTCTGAAAAAAGTGTATTTAGGCTTTTTAGCGTATTAAACATCGATAAAATGTGTTAAAAAGAGTATCTAGCTCTTATCATACCCACGTATGGGGGGGGGTCGATGAAACATTTTTCTCTAAATACCGTTTTACTCTTCAAATGGGGACCTAATATTCGAAAATGTGCTCGGTCTCTTTTCAAAGATTTTCAATTATAATTTTATTTTTACGGTTTTTACGACAGAATAGAATAAATAGAATTGAGGATCTTTAAAACTAAAAGACGAAAAAAGATTTCGAATTGAAATTCTTTGGAAATTCGATTACATTTTGATGGTTAAAACGGAATTTTACAGTAAAACTTTACAAAGACAAATTTATGGACATTGTACCCATTAGTATCATTTTTTAGTACAGCAAAACGACGTCTAGTGGGTGAAAATATCTTCGGAAATGGGACCGAGCACATTTTCGAATATTAGGTCTAATTTTTAAGGTTAAAACGGCATTTTAGAGAAAAAAAAAAGACATTGATGACCCTCCCCTTACATTTGTGGGGATAGTACCCATTAAAAGCACTTTTTAACTAAATACAACGATGTTTACTAGGCAAGGAAAATATTTCTTATTTAAATATTTAAAATCCATTCAATATTCAGAAACAAAGAAAAGTAAAATGTTTATTGCTGGTATTTATAATGATGATGATAATGATGATGATAATGATAATGATAATGATAATGATAATGATAATGATAATGATAATGATAATGATAATGATAATGATAATGATAATGATAATGATAATGATAATACCAGAAACAGAGTATTTTAAACTTGCTCTGACAAACTTTATTATTTCACTAAAGATGTTGTCCGAATAATTATTTTATTTTAGCTTTAACAGATTTACAAATTGTGTTTTTTTTTAGGGATAACAGTCTGCTGATGTAAGAAGAAAAGTGCTTAATATGGTTCAAGTGTATGTATTGTGACACTACCAGTGGTGAGGATGGTGGTCTGTGATAGCTGATTTTATGTTTCGCGCATTTATTTGATTCCCTGTGATGTGTATTCCGCTAAACTATTAACGTGGCAAAATCTGTGAGCAGATAGAAGACGATTTCTGTGTGAGTGGAGATTGCCGCATGTTATTCTTTTCCTGGATCCCATTTAGTCTTTTTTTATAGTATTTATTGTCTATATTAATAAATGATTATGATAACTAAATAATTAATAAATGTAAAATTAAAATTTATTGAAAGTTTTTCTCAACTTTTCAATTAATTTGTGAAACACGGCTTTTTAACATTTATTCTATTATTTATCTGGTTAAACTTTTTGTCTTGTACCTACAATGCGCTAAAAATGACTTAAAGAATTAAAAATGGTTAATTTTGCAATGTATTGTATAAACAGATTGCTGAACGTAGAATACTAGAAAGAACACTGATCAAAGGCGAATGCATCAAGAAGGCGGGAAGTGGGTCAAAATAGTTATTTAGGTTGTCAAGGGAAAATACGCAATAAAAGCTAAACTTTAGTCTAACGTGAAGTACAAAGTTTAACAGTCTCAGTGGTGTTATTTTCGAAGATTTCATTGTGATGTTTTTCTTTTGTAATTTGACGGGTATTTTGAAAATGTTACCTAATAATACTTTTTTCAGTGTCATTGTGGACACCATGCATTCTAATCGGGTTTACCCGATATTAACCAATTAATTTTACAAAAAGGAATTAGGTTTCCTAATTTCGAATTTAAATCTTTTGGAACAGGTTGAAAACATAATTAAATATTTATCATTTGAGAGTTGAAAATGAATGAAATTCCTTCTTTTTACACTTAAATGAAAACAAGCCTTGTAACTTACATTTTATTCAAAATAATTTCACTTTGTACTAAGGTACGGTTTTTTATAGGCCGAGTAGTAAGATTGGGTTTAACAGCAATTCGGTTCAACTTGTAAACATTTAAACTTTTACACTTTTATCATATTTTAGAAATCTAATCCACAGTGTAGACCGGTGAAATATTTATATAAACACCATTGTAGACTATATGAACATTTATTTAACCCACAGTTTAGACCAACGGAACCTTTATTTAACCCACAGTTTAGACCAATGGAACCTTTATTTAACCCACAGTTTAGACCAATGGAACCTTTATTCAACCCACAGTGTAGACCAATGGAACCTTTATTTAACCCACAGTTTAGACCAATTGGAACCTTTATTCGACCCACAGTGAATACAAATGGAACCTTCATTTAACCTACAGTGTTGACCAGTGTAACCTTTATTCAACCCACAGTTTAGACCAATTGGAACCTTTATTCAACCCACAGTTTAGACCAATGGAACCTTTATTTAACCCACAGTTTAGACCAATTGGAACCTTTATTCAACCCACAGTGAAAACAAATGGAACCTTTATTTAACCCACAGTGTAGACCAATGGAACCTTTATTAAACCCACAGTGTAGACCAATGGTACCTTTATTTAACCCACAGTTTAGACCAATTGGAACCTTTATTCAACCCACAGTGAATACAAATGGATCCTTTACTAAACCCACAGTGTAGATGGAACCTTTATTTAACCCACAGTGTAGACCAAAGGAACCTTTATTTTAACCCACAGTGTAGACCAATGGTATCTTTATTTAACCCACAGTGTAGACCAATGGAACCTTTATTTTACCCACAGTGTAGACCAAAGGAACCTTTATTTAACCCACAGTGTTGACCAAAGGAACCTTTATTTAACCCACAGTGAAGACCAATGGAACCTTTATTTAACCCACAGTGTAGACCAATGGAACCTTTATTTAACCCACAGTGAAGACAAATAGAACCTTTATTTAACCCACAGTGTAGACCAATGGAACCTTTATTTAACACAGGAAAATATTTGAATAATTGTTCAGTTTTCCGGACAGGAACATATTTGAATAATAAATTAAGAAAAATATTGTCTTAAACAGACTGATCAGAAAGTTAAAACCAATTCTCAGATTTTTCTCCCCCCCCCCCCCCTCTTTCATGGTCCTTTCTATTTTATGGAAATTTGATGGCTGTGAGCTTGAAGATAAGTAAAAAATAGTTTTAGTTATAAAATTAATGACAACGTATAACCTAAAGCTAAAGATTAAGCCTTGGAAAACATTGAAATATACAGGGTGTCCCAAAAAACATGGGAATTCAGTGACGAATTGGATATCGTCTTTGTTATGAATTTGTATTGTAATACCTAATTTCTAAAGCCATAATATTATTATGTCTGCTAGAATTTTATTTTATGAAAAGGGTAAAAGACTGTAAAGATGTGTCTATTATAGTACACTCAGTGTTAGAAATGGGCTCAAATACTATACATTAATATACAATATTTATGAATATGTATAGTGTTAATTTAGTTAATAGTCCCTTTAAACTACTAGAAAGAGAAATTTTTCCGATTTGCAAAAACATAAACGCATAGAAAACTCAACATTTGCAATAAATTTGCATACATATTTTCTTCTAGAAAATAAATTGTTTACACTTTAAGACAAATTGCAGGGTTTGAGGGTGAAATCAAAATTTAACAAATTACAAATATACACCCACAGTTCTCATTCTTTGAATAGTTTTGTATCACCAGAGTTCTAAGATAATCGAGCTAAAAATGGAGGGGGAAAAATGTTGAAGAAAAATTCTAAGGTTTTGAAGATATCTTAAAATATAAAGCTAAGCAAGGAAAAATAGAAATTTAAGCTATCATCCTCTTATAAAAGTTAAATTTTTTCAAAGTTTAATATCAGGGTTCTCTAAAGTTCTAATATTTTCTCTTTCATTGTCAAAAATTTCGTTGAAAAATGTGTTTAAGGAACAAAACTGGTTTTTGGCACAAATTTGTGATTAAGGTTAAAAACTGTGTTCATGGTACAAAACTTTTAAGTTACTATAAAAACTGTGTTTAAGGTACAAAACTGTGTTTAAGGTACTAAACTGTGTTTAAAGTACTAAAACCGTGTTTAAGGTACAAAACTGTGTTTATGGTACAAAACTGTGGTTAAGGTACTAAACTGTGTTTGTTTATGGTACAAAACTGTGTTTATGGTACAAAATTGTGTTGAAGGTACAAAACTGTGTTTATGGTACAAAACTGTGTTTAAGGTACAAAACTGTGTTTATGGTACAAAACTGCAGTTTATGGTACAAAACTGTGTTTCTCGTACAAAACTGTGTTTATGGTACAAAAATGGTTTATGGTGCAAATTTGTGTTTATGGTACAAAAATGGTTTATGATGCAAAACTGTGTTTAAGGAACTAACATTGTGTTTATGGTACAAAACTGTGTTTATGGTACAAAACTGTGTTTAAGGTACAAAACTGTGTTTAAGGTACTAAAACTGTGTTTCAGGTACAAAACTATGTTTATGGTACAAAACGGGTTTATGGTACAAAACTGTATTTAAGGTACTAAACTGTGTTTAGGTACAAAACTGTGTTTAGGTACAAAACTGTGTTTGTTTATGGTAAAAAAAAACTGTGTTTAAGGTGCAAATTGTGTTTAAGGTACACAACTGTGCTTATGGTACAAAACTTTTTTGATGGAACAAGACTGTGTTTATGGTACAAAACTGTGTTTAAGGTACAAAACTGTGTTCATGGTACAAAACTGTGATTACTGTGTTTAATATATAATACTGTGTTGATGGCACAAAACTGTGTTTATGGTACAAAACTGTGTTTAAATTACCAAACTGTGTTTAAGGTACAAAACTGTGTTTAAAATACAAAACTGTGTTTAAGATACAAAACTGTGCTTAAGTTACAAAACTGTGTTTAAAATACAAAACTGTGTTTAAGATACAAAACTGTGCTTAAGGTAAAAAACTGTGTATATGGTACAAAACTTTGTTTATGGTACAACACCCAATTTCAATCTTTGGGATTGTTATGTTAAAGAGTTGTGTAGATGGTCTCACGTATATTAAAAGTTGATGTGTAACAAGTTGGCGCATGTAAATTAAAAATTCAAAACCCAATTCTCAATGGAAGCTTGAATTCCTTTGTTATAAAAATAGATGCAGTTTTTGCACACTATATTGTGCAAAAGTAAAACACTTTGCGAAACCAATTTTGGAAATGTGTTTAAAATTCTATCTAACATGAAAAGACATCGACTTATTGAGCAATGCCATATTCTGAAGACCTCTAACTTCAAAGATTCCACTCCTGTTATCTGTCGATTTCAGGTTAGAATGATTCGTGATTTCCCTCCTTCCCCGCCTTTCATTCCCCTCCCGTTTCCTTCCTTCCCTCATTTCCTTATCTCCCTCCATTCTTATATCTTCTCCACACTTCCTTACACCTCCCTTCTCCTACTATCCCTCACTTTCCCTCCCTTTCCCTCCCTTTCCCTCCCTTACCATCCCTTTCCCTCCCTTACCATCCCTTACCATCCCTTTTCCTCCCTTTCCCTCCCTTTGCTTCTAGGCTTGGGAAATAAAGCAGGAAACCATTTTGAAGTTTTAAAATTCTGAAACTTTTCATGGATTTTTCATTTTAGAGGTTGAAGTTTAAAAGTTTAAAGTTATACTCTCAGATTTACCGTAACACCTAATAATCTTTGATTTTAACAAAGTTTCATGATTTGATTCTGTTTTTGTAGAATATACAATTATACTTCATTGTATGCAATTTTTCTTTGAGTTCATCATAAGGCTTAGCCTGTATGATAACTGTATCAAACATTATCGAAATTTTTATCAAGCGGGGAGGGGGTGATAATAAATTATTCGGCTTAATAAACCTACATATATTTACCCCCCGCCCCCCTCTCTCCAATTCACCCTCTTTCACTTATTGAATTACATTTGCTTAGAATAGAATAGAATAGAATAAACGGAACTATTATTTTCTCTGCAACCATATTTTCTGCCAAAGAGTATGTTCTTGAAGATTACACCTATACGTCATCTGATGTTTCTGTTATGAGAATTTAACATAAATCGTTATCCATGGATCCTTGAAATCGTGTTCTCCTCAACTAGTTGGACATGAGCTTACCACCAGATGCAGTTAGACCCATAAAACTATGTAATAGGATCTGAGTTTTTAAGATATTGGTAAAACTGTCTGCTTTATAACAGCATCAAATGCTGTCTACCTTCTCATAGTCTTTTGGGCCTCACTGTAAAAACCAGTTTTTTCGGAGCTCGATGAAAACGATCAGATA